CCCCCCCATAGATGAAAAATAATGAATAATGACATCAGAAAATGCTCGCTCGAGATTAATAACTGGCTATGCTCAGTGACCACACATCTGTGACATCCCTCCCGACCAACCCCCCGCTAATCCACTCACATCATTGACTCGGTACCACAAGAGCACAAACTCTACGCCAGACCCTCAGGCCAAGCAAAGACCACAGAGATTTCATCGCCCGATTACAATCTAACAAAGTCCCAAAACGAAGCCAAAGCCAACCCAGCCCTACAGCTTTGCTTTCTCCCTTAGCCCCCTCTCCTCCTCCACCTCCTCCCTAACCACCTCCGTTACAAACCCCCTCACCCTCCTCGCCAACTCCTCCCCCTCGTCCTCATCCAAATCCTCCCTTTTCCCCCTCCCAAACATGGTGCTCGTAAACCTCTCAGCCTCCCTCAGCCCTGGCCTGGGAATGATGTGAAAATGCATATGCTCGACAACCTGCGCAGCGGCAATCCCGTTGTTCTGGACCACGTTCCAGTCTTTGATCCCCGTCGCCCGCGTCACCGCTTCCGAGAGGATCCGTAGGTAGCGCCCCAATTCGGCGGCTTCATCGGGAAGCACGTCGGTGAGTTTGGCGGCGTGCCGGCGGGGGCAGAGTAAGAGATGGCCCGGGGAGAGGGGCATGATGTCGAGGAAGGCGATCAGGAGGGGGGTGGAGAGGAGGAGGAAGGTTTGTGGTTGGGGGGAGGTGGAGGTGGATGGGGGGAAGGGAGAAGGAGGGGAGGTAGGGGGGTAGGGGGGAAAAGTTGAGGAGATGTGGCAGAAGGGACAATTGGGTTGGGTATCGGAGGAGGAGGTGGTGGTGTTACTGGCGCCGGCGCCTGACTTGGAGGCGGGAAGGCTGGGGTCGAAGGTGTTGGCGTCGGGGACGATGGAGCGTGGAGCTGGTGTTGCTGGTGGCTTCTTGTCGGTTGAGGAAGCCATGGCTGCAGTCTGGCGTATGACGTAGTGATGTGTTTGAAGAATTGTATATGTCGAGGAGCCCCGAGTTGAACTTGAACTGAAATACTCAACAGAAGTTTCGACCAGTAGGTACTAGGAGTGTAGTTGATCTCACTACTTATGTAATGATGCCGAAAATGATTGTTTGCTGAGTGCGCCCCGTAACCAAGGACCAAAGCAACAAAATGTCAAAAAACCAAACAAAACGCCTTTCTCCGTGACAAATCCGAAAGGAAACACCACTGATGACTCTTGTATGATGATTTTAAGCTGATGACCAACTAGTCGCTCAGTGAGATTCGGGACGAAAGGCCCAGGGCGGGATCTTGAAAAGACCCCAAAGCCAAACACAAAGCACCGGGCCCGTTCCCCGTCCCTGTCTCACCTCCGCTTGCCGGCGGGCATCGACCCGGTAGTGTACAGTGGTGAGGCGCCAGGGCTGCCGCGAACAACCTCGGCCTCCAAACTCCGCCGAAAACGTGGGGGAATTGCCTGCCGCATTGACAGCTACCCACAGTAGAGTGGAGACCTTATATGACAGGGGTAACTTGCATTCGCAAGGTCCGAACGCCGCCTGCTTTTGTCACCCTTTGTCAAAGTCTGGAACTTTCTGCCTCAGCGTTCCGCCTTTTTTTACCTTTTGTTGTTCGCGTCCAGTTGAAACTCGCCTGTATAGGTAGCGCTCCGTCCCTCTCGTCGCAAACCACTCCACCGGTAATTATCCATCATCATCATCAACCGAACGACATCATCGTCGCATTCCGCTCCAAATCGCATAACATCGATTTGTCGTCGCCTCAACACAAAGACAATCTTACACGTTGTATAACCGTCATCCAATCTATCCGAGCAAACCCGACGACAAATAAACCCAAATTACAAATACCACACCACCCCCAACACAACACAAACAATCAAGATGTCTTCCCGCGAGCAGTACCAAGTCCCCAACTCCCAGGGCTTCACCACCGGCGCCTCCAACAACGACGGCAACAGCGGTGGCAGCAGTGTTATGTGGTACACTTGCGGCGACTGCGCGGTCCGCGTGCCGCTCGAGAAGGGCGCTCCTATCCGCTGCCAGAAGTGCGGTGCGCGTGTTTTGTATAAGGAGCGCACCAAGAGGTACGTTGTTTTTTTGAGCTTACCCTATGGAAAATTCTGAGAATGTCGGAGAGAAGACATTGTGCTAACGACGGTTTGGGGGTAATAGAATGGTTCAGTTCGAGGCTCGGTAAATGGTTTCTTATTCGACTTTGTTCGACTTGGGGCCAATAAAGGAGGTGTAGAAAGGGGTCGCTCTTCCTCGATGCCATATCGGGCTGAAGTTTTCATCGTATCTGGACCGGCCGGGATGTCCTGATGCCCAAGGACGGGAGCCGAGTCAGCCTTGGAGGCAACGGGAACATTTGTCGAGGGGAGCTGGGACCGTAGGAGACTCGAACCGTCGATATCTTGGTGTGATTTTGCACCATCAGCGGTTGCTTAGCATGGCCCAGCCTTGAACCCACGGCTTGTTGTGATCAGACAAAGGGAGATATCATATTCATCACAATATCATGATGGCGGCGTTCTGGGAAATATCGGTAGACTTGTGGGAATTCATACAAAGAAAGCATTGCGTTTCATCATCGTCATTATCACCTATCACCATCAAATAGATCCGCTCTGTGATGCTTCTCATTATTGATCATGTTTTTGCCACCTAAAATATTGGTATGGTATCACTCTGAAAACGCCGGTTGTATGCTAATTCTCCCTCCCTCTGAATCACTTTTCTTGCCAGCATTGCTCGATAAATCCTTTCCTTACCAATGGCCAATCTCATCACCTCTGGCTGTGGAGGTACTTTGCAAAACTTGCGTCGGCCAAAACCGAATCATCTTCGCCCTGCATGGCAGCGGCGTACCTCGCCTGCAATCCCTCGCGGTCATACTCGTCGTTGGGATCGTCACCATATTCCTCGTCGCTGCTCTCCTCGTCCGTGCTCAACGGCTCGGGGGCCTCTTTATCATTGACGTCACCCACTGTGACGTCGCCCGCCGCGTCGCCCATCGACATTCCCTTCATCATTTTGTTGAGTTCCCTCTCCCGAGCCTTTTTCTTGTTCTCTTCCCTTTCTTCGCGCCTCCTCTCGAGCTCAGGCTGGTAGTCGCGCTTGAACTCCTCTGCCTTCTCCTGAACCGCGGCAAAGAACTCGTCAATGCCCGTCCCGTACAGCGAACTGACGCCCACCACGTTCAGATGTGCGTAAAACTCCTCCAACATCAGACTCATGCTGTTCAACAGCGAGCCCATGTATCCGCTGCCCGAGCCCATGCCATCGCCGCTGCCCTCCGCTCCGCCAAACGCGTTGTTGGTCTCGTCCTCCTGCAGCGCAGCCTGGAACGCATCATAGTCGGTCATCCACTCCTTTGCAAAAGCCGGGTCCTTAACGTCCGACTTGTTGAACACCAGAATCATGGGCAGCTTGGTCTTGTAAAGGATACTGCAGGCGTACAGCATGTTGCTCATGAAGGTCGACGTCGAGCTCGTCCGGGGGGTGTCGATGATGTAGGCGATGACGGTGGGGAAGGATGAAGCGAGCGACTCAAGGAGAATCTGGCCCGACGCGGACCAGACGAACACCTCGATCTGGCCCGGCGTGTCGACGAGGATGTGCTTGATGGGCGTGTGCGTCGGGTCGTCGGGCTTGGGCGCCGTGCGCTTCTCGAGTAGGCCGAGGACCTGGTCGACTTTGGTGGCGAAGAGGTTCAGCGATGTGAGAATGCCGCCGTTGGGGCCGAGGTTGTACTGCTTCATCACCTCCTTGTAGTTGACCGAGTCGCGGATGTCAATGTTGCTCTCGAAGGGCGAGTGGGTGACTGCTGGGTCGAGGTTGATGACATAAGGGGGCTCCTTCTTTCCGTGGAGATGGGCATTGATTTGTTGCATAAAGGTTGTCTTGCCGGATCCTGGGGAACATGGTCAGCTGGATGATTCCGCTTGCGGTTGGGAAAAGCACAGAACATGAGCATGCGTAGACCTACCTGCCATGCCAACGCAGACGATGGCAACAGGCTGGTCAGCCTTGGCGGCAGACGATGCCGAAGTCGAAGCCATTGTGCGACAGCTGTGCACGGGTGTGTGGAAGATTGTTTGGTGATCTCTGTGTTATCTGTCGGATAAAATCAAAGTTGTTGCAGATTTCAGTTTGCGCAGAGATGGTGTTGTAATGAGTCTCGGGAAGAAAGTTTCACGGATGTCGTAAGCGGCGGGGTCACTACTGTAAGGATGGTCATAGGTGGTTGCGACGGAGTGAATGTCCGAGGGCTACAGAGGGGCAACACCGCAAGAAAAAAAAAAAAAAAAAAAAAAAAAACAGCCCATTGATCGCCTGGCGTATGTAGCGGGCGGAAAGATTCCATCCATCAAGGCATGGGTGGGGTGAAGGGTAGGTAAGGCTTGGCATTTTGTTTTCCCCAAAGTGAAATGACTGAAACCTCAACATTGGTCTCTTTTCATCCTCTCACCCATCTATCTTCCAACTACGCCTTCATGTTCCTCGACATCCAATCCATATCTGGCCGGCTCGCATCTCATCCATCATCCTTTACCAACTTGGAACTAAATCAGTTGGCGACCTATACCCTGTTATCATGCCTATATCAATAGCCCATATGGCCTGCTTGACAGCTTCTTGTTTTCAGCCGAGCCGATGTTAATCTACGAATATCACAGCCCTCAACCGCAGTGAGTAGCTAGTCGACCTGGTAACTTTGCGGCCCCGTTCTATAAGTTGTACCCTGGTATTATGGGTGCCTGGATATTTTAGGATCTTAACGGTTGGATGGAATAGCACTTGCCGCGGGCAGACAAGCCCCGAAGGCCTCGTCGACCTCACAGGCTATTGTTCAATGAGGTCTGTCCACTTGTCCAGTTTCAACTAAATTTTTCACGCCTAGCAACGAAGCCGGATACGGATGCTTTTTGAACGTTTCGCGGAGTCTGTCGAGTGGCAATTTTATAATGTTGAACGAGACCGGGATAAGCGACGGGAGAAAAACCGTCTCACGTCATCTTCGGAAAAGGTTAGGAACTATAGGCAGGATGCTGGCGGGGGCTATTCACCAATGCCAATGACCGCTAAACCCATGTTAAGCGGATGGTCGGTGGTCCCGCGTTGGGGAGTGGGCGCAGTCGGTGGCCTCTTCTTGCATCAAAATTCTCTTCAAAATGGTGGATGATGGGAGCTGGGTTGGTGAAGTAAGCCACAAACGTAATGGCAAGCTCCGTCTGTTCGGCACTACCAGGAGGCAGCGTGGCCGGGAACCAAGCGGCCATCCACAAGCTGCCCCTCATGATACTCAGCCCTACCAACCTACCTCTTCCACGTTCTATCCATTATACTCAAGCTGACCCCCAAGATCCGTTTGGATTTTCTCCCTTCCACGTCTTCCCTTGCTTCATCTCTCGTCTCACACCAGGGCCAGATTCATCATTCGACTTGGGCCAATTTCCAGCGACTCACCAATTCCAGGCTTCGGAGATCGGCTACCATACTCTACCCACACCTCTATAGAGGTGTATACACTTCCATTTATCGGTGTTACATATCTGCTGACAGCACCCAATGTCCACCATGTTGCGCAAGAAGGAAGCCTTCACTGTTATCACGCCCATTCCGGGCTTCATTCCACGACAGTTGGCCATCGACATCCTTCATTCTCATTCTGAAGTTATTACTCTTAACCCTCTTGTCCTCGACCACAAGCCCATCGCGGCCCCCCAGGATGCAGAAACAGACGAGTATTATGCGACATGGTACGAGATCACCGAACGAGTCACGATTCTGCCTGGAATTGGGAGGATGGGGGCTACAACCATCAAGTTCAATGGCTGCTTTCACGACATGCCATGGGGTCTTCAGACTCACATTTACGCCCCCATGAACGTTGACCTTCGCAACACCTATCGCATCGCCGGTAATCAACCAAACTTTGAGCCTCCAGAGCCACTTGAGATGGGGTTATCAGCTCTTGGGGCACCGTCGGATGGGTTATATCTTCGTGAGGATATTGAGATCAAGTGCAGTCGCACTGTCATGAGTTTTGTCAAGTCGCAAATGAAGAAGGCGGGTGGGGAAATGGTGAGACGCATCATCAAGAAGGCCGAGTTACTGGATGCTGGCGTGCTTCAGGCTATGATCGAGGACGGAAAGCTGAAGACGTTCAACCCGGCCGACAAGAGGAATACAGTCCGACGACCGGCTGTGGCTTCTCCGGGCCCTCAGTTTTCGCCTACATTTGCCAGCTCATCGGCCTCTGGTACACCACCTCAGTCTCCCGGTGTTCCCTATCAGATCCCGCGACCGCTATCTGCTACTCCCAGTCAACACCGGTCAAGTACTCCTGGATCCTACCACCGTCCTAACAGCTACGGGAAGGCACCCGCTGCTTTCGGCTATGGAACCCGGAATGGACCACAGGAGCTGTCTGTTACCAACCCTGAACCGGTCTCAAATGGTCCGATTGAGATGCCAGGCGACTTCTACCACGCACCATCAAACCTTCAGCCTCAATCTCTGCCATCCTCCAACCGAAATTCCAGTCAGTCATACTCGTCCGACCGGCCACAAGCAAGCCCGAACCCATCATTACGCAGCGGGTTCCCGTCTCCCGCTTTGGACAAGAATTTTGGACTACAGACTCACCAGGAAACGTCCGAGGAGCACAGGGAGGAGGCTTTGAAGAAATTAGACCCGCGTATCCCGCATCCGTCTCACTACGCTCCGTATAACCCAGCGGATTACGGTCCCGTGGACCCGTTGAAGGTTCTTGGCAACCAGTATGGACACAGTCCACAGGCTCAGCAGCTGTATAAGAACACGTACACAAGGTGATGGAGTAGGAACAAATTTGATAAAGTTTTTCAACGTGGCTTGACATTGGATGATAGATAGGCAGGCGGGGATATCTCGGTTTTTTTTGGTTTTTTTTCGGTGCTTCATATACCCATTCGCTTTTTTCTTTGCTGTACATATGTATACAGACTTTTAACTTCCTGTGATGATGAACCTTTTGTTTCGAGAAAAAAAAAGGTTGGCGTGCTGGTCTATTGTCAAGGCACTTCAAGGTTCGATAAGATCAGATCAATGTAATTCTTCACTTTGAAGGCACCCAGCTGAGAGAGCATTATCCTGTGTGCCCAACCAAATATCCTTTGCAGCATTTTCAGGTAGCAAGACTTAAATTGGTGTCACACCCGTTCATCACAGTATGTGCATGACGTGACGTGGTAGAATATCAGATACAATCTCATATTTGATTGCCAATAATCTTCTTGTTAAAATATCTTCTTCCTGTTCTTTCAAAAGAACATTTATTATGCCAGTAATTTCTATGAATCAAGATCAAGATAGTATTTGGGCGTATATCAACATGGACGACGCGTGTATGAAGATGATCTGGGAGCATTACCATAGTTGGCGGCACAAAGACTGGACTTTCGCTTCTTCCTACCCATTGGAGGGTTATCAATCATCAACACTCTGAAAACTACAAATGGCTTTCTGTGCAGCTAAGCTTAGGCTTCGTTTAATTATCTTCCTGTTGATTTCACATAAAGCGTGCTAGGGGGTACCGTTTCGCTCAAGACATCAGTGCCGGTGATAAATGGTAGAACTCTAAAAGTGAAAATGGCCAAGCTATGCAGCATAATGTTTAGAATGTTGACGTATGGTAAGAGGACTACTACCGTGGCCATACGGATAAACTCATACAACTTTACCTCAACATCATCCAATGCTTGTTGGGTAGATGGTTATCGAGGGATCAGATGGAAGTGAGGTTGCTGAATAAGATATGGAATGGAATATTACCTCTTGCGGTTAGTGTAAGTAGCAATTGGCGCTTTTGGATATCCCGCTAAAATACGTCACTCCACTGCAGCATCCTCCATAAACCATCAACCGATCAAACTTGTCATGCAGTAGCCTCGACTGAACAACAACCGATTGCCCACAATCGAAATCTGCCAACATGGACAGTTTGGAAGACTTTGAGAAGCAGCTCGCTGCGGAAAAGGAGGAGCGCGAGCGCGCAAAAGAAAAGGAACAACGGCGCAAGCACAAACATCATCATCATCGCCGCGACAGATCATCAGACCGCGACCGCGACCGAGATGGAAATAGGGACAAGGACACAGAGAGAGACAAAGACAGACACAGAGATAGGGACAGTGACCGCCACCGATCACATCGATCTCGAGACGACCACGACGAGGAAGATGACAAGGATGGACACCGACACAAGCGATCGCGCCATTCGCGTCATGACGACCACCACGAAGAGGAATCGCGGCACCGACACAGACACAGGGACCGGTCGGGTGATAGGTACAGTGAAAGGGACAGGGAGCATAGAAGTGACCGCAGGCGTAGCACTAAGGACACGAAAGACCTCAAACCGACAGACGCCAAAGAGGACCTCCCCTTGCCGGACGAGGAGAAGGCCCCCATGGACGTCGACAAACCGGCGCTTGTTCGCGACTCTTGGATGACAGCACCATCTGCGGTAGATGTCGATTACGTTCAACGAGGCAGGAAGAGGAGCCCATCGGCCAAAAAGGAAGAGCCGAAACGGGTGCTACATGAGAGGGAGGTCAATAGAGGATTAGCTGAGATGGAGAACTGGTCCATGCCAGTTGAGCGAGATATCGAGAGAGGGCAGGAACCTCCACGGAAGCGAGAAGTCAACTACACATTTGGTGACGAAGGGTCGCAATGGCGAATGACCAAGCTAAAGGCAGTTTACACGACGGCGGAGCAGACGGGCAAGACAGTCGAGGAGGTTGCTCTTGAGCGTTTTGGAAGCCTGGAAGAATTCGACGAGGCCAGAGAAGAGAAGATCGAGGTGGACAGGAGGAAGCTGTACGGTGAGGGCTACGCTGGCAAAGAGAAGCCAACAGGCGAGTTATACGAAGAGCGTATGGCAAAGATGCGTTCCCAGCGACCCGAATCACCAGACCGCGAAAAATCATCACCGCCCGCGCAAGGTGTCATCATCGAGGATCAACTACAAAAAGCGCCTCCCATCGACCAATCGACCCTCAACCGCATGCGCGCCGCCCTTATGAAGGCCAAGCTTCGCAAGGCCCCAGAGGCCGCCAAGCTCGAGGAGGAGTATAACGCCGCCATGGCCGCCTTCCAAGCCGGCAATGCCTTCCAAGCAGGTAGCGTGTCCGGCGCCGCCGTCGTCCTCGACGCCTCGCACAACCGCATGCTAGCCGGCCCGCGCGGCGAAGTCGTAGCCGTGACCAACACCAAACGGGGCCGCGAGCGGGGCACCGTCGTCGAAAACGAAGACATGAGCATCGACGACATGGTACGCGAAGAACGGCGCACTCGCGGCCAAGCCGGCGGCGAAGGCCTTCGTCTAGCCGAGCGCATCGCCAAAGACGCCAAATTCGACAACGACCTCGAGTACCTGGACGAAAACGCGGCCAAGCTGGCCAAGCGCGTGCACAAGAACGAGGCCTCGCTCAAGAACGTAGCGGTAGCCGAGTACAGGAAACTCAACCGCATCCTCGACACCTGTCCGCTGTGCCACCACGAAGAGCAGGCCCCTCCCAAGAACCTGCCGGTCGCGCCCATCATCTCCCTCGCCACCCGCGTCTACCTAACCCTCCCGACTTCCCCCGAACTAACGGGTGCCGAAGGCGGCGCCCTGATCGTCCCCATCAGCCACCGTACCAACCTGCTCGAGTGCGACGACGACGAGTGGGAAGAAATCCGCAATTTCCAAAAGTCGCTCACGCGCCTCTACCACGAACAGGGGCGCGAGGTGCTCTTTTACGAGAACGCTGCCGCTCCCGGGAGGAGACTACACGCCGCCATGATGGCCGTCCCCATCCCCTGGGACCTGGGCGACACCGCGCCCGCCTTCTTCCGGGAAGCGATGCTCTCGGCCGACGACGAGTGGGCGCAGCATAAGAAGGTGATCGATACGGGCAAGGCGGCGCGCGAGGGCGGCATGGGAAAACTGGCGTTTAGGAGGAGTATTGCCAAGGAGATGCCGTATTTCCATGTGTGGTTTAATCTGGATGGGGGGTTGGGCCATGTGGTGGAGAACTCGGAGCGGTGGCCGAGGGGCGATTTGTTTGCGAGGGAAATCATTGGCGGAATGTTGGATTCTGAGCCGGATGTTATCAAGAGGCAGGGGAGGTGGTCGAGGAGTGATGAGAGGGTTGATGGGTTTAAGAAGAGATGGAGGAAGTTTGACTGGACGCGGGTGCTTACTGAGGGCGCTTGATATGCATTTCAGTGGTTAAGATTGATATCGTCCGTCCTAATTGGAGCTTGGGATATCGATGTCAAGGCGACCCTCCATTATTTGACTAAATATACATAGCGTTTTGGACCAAGCTTCCTGCAGTCACCGGGTATCTTCATATCGCGACATGTACTTCCAACACAACATATTGCGCTCAGCCGAACATCGGGTATTGGTTTCAACATTTTATCGTGTTTTTGTTCGCTTTTAACCAGAAAACATCGCCTCGCTACGTTCATGTCATAGATTCTTAACCCTCCTCAGCATCCATATGATCACGGCCGCCACCCTGGCCGTTTCCGCGCTTCCTCTTGAGCAAGCCACCGTGCTTGCCCTGATTCTCCATCAAAGACTTCATCTCGTTCCTGGCATGGCGTTGCGCCTCCTCGACGCGGGGCTTAAACACCATAACCTCGTCCTTCTCCAAAGGATACTCATCAAGCTTGTGGCCGAGAGCAGCTTCGATACGGAGCCAAATTTCGAGATCACTACATCATGGTTAGGCTCACCGTTCTCGGTAGAATAAGGCGGGGCGGGGTGTAGATCTTACTATTGTGTGACAATGCTGATAGCATGACCAGACTTGCCCGCACGAGCAGTACGACCGACACGATGGACATAGGTCTTGGAGTCCTGAGGAAGATCGTGGTTGATGACGCAGTCGACGTTAGGAATATCGAGACCACGGGCAGCAACATCGGTAGCCACGAGGATCTCACGGGAACCGGCACGGAACTTGTTCAGGGCACCGAGACGAGCAGACTGCGAGAGGCCACCGTGGAGAGGGATGGCGCCCATACCGAGGGTGCGGAGCAGGATCGCAATGCGCTGGGTTTCCAGCACGGTTCTGGTGAAGATGATGATGGTCTGGCCGGCAAACTCGTTGCAGAGGTAGACCAGGTAGGTGTCCTTGTGCATGTGTGGGATGAAAACGTAGTTGGACTTGAGCGTCGAGACGGTTGCGTACTTGTTGGAGGATACGCTGACCTTGAGGGGGTCCCGCAACGAGGCGCGCTGCAAAGACTCGACCTTACTGGACATGGTGGCGGAGAAGAGGAACGTCCGGCGCTCGCGGGGAAGGAACTTGAGGATCTTTTCGAGAATTGGGCCGAAATCCATGTCGAGCAGACGGTCGGCTTCGTCCATGACCAGGTACTGCATGGAACGTAGACTGAAGCCCTTGGTCTTCTCCAGGTGGTCGAGCAGTCTACCGGGAGTCGCAACGATAACGTGGGGCTTCTTGCCGAGAGCAATTGCTTGTGTTACCATGTCCATACCACCCAAAATCAGAGCGCATCTTAGCGAGATCAAGCTACCGAGCGCTTCAAAGGCTTGGGCGATCTGGGCTGCAAGTTCTCTTGTGGGCGCAAGGACGAGGGCGAATAGAGGGGCCGGCTTGTCGAGGAGCGCTTGTAGGATGGGAAGGGCAAAGGCCGCTGTTTTACCGGAACCAGTCTCGGCAATACCAATGATATCGCGGTTTTGGAGGGCGAGGGGAATCGATTGTTCTTGAATGGGTGTCGGGTTCTTGTATCCGAGACGTTCGCAAGCTTCGCAGAGGGCGTCGACGATTCCCTGTGTAGGACATAGGTTAGCACCGCTTCTTTACTTTTTTTTGGTACAGCACTGGCATGGACCAGCCTAGTTGACAAGTGAACATACAAGATCCTTAAAGGTCTTCTTAACAGTCTCAACCTCCTCCTGTTCCGGGGCAACGTCGAGAGTCACGGAGTCCTCTTCTGTCGAGTTGGTGGCGGGAGTTGACTCCTCTGTTGGCTCTGGCGCATCTTGTTTCTTTTCCGTCTTCTCTGTCTTCTTGGTGCTGGACTTGTCCTTGGTCGACTTATCCTTGACCTTTTTTTCCTTCTTCAGCTCGGGTGCAGAAGGAGCAGCCGCCTTTTTGAGGGCGCTGGGCTCGTCGGAAGTTTTCCTCCGTTTTGTCGACATGATGGTCGGTGATAGTTATGGTAAATAATGGGAGTGGACCGACGGTGTTCGCTACGAAGGGCGGACTTCCCAGTGAACTTTTATGTCACTTTCCATTGATCTTCCCCAAATTTCCAGGCTTATCGGTTGGCGGGTCCTGCACGATAAGCCCCGGCCCCACCGAAATTTTTGTCAGAATGGGCCATTGTCCCAAGCTTCTCTCTCCATCAGGGACGCCCCCCCATAGACATTTGCCTGCACAGTTCTGCTTCAGTGTTCGAGTCTGCCAGTTACAGATCTTTAAATCAAATCATCACCACCACCACCTCCTTCTTCACCACACACATCACCCACTAACCGACAACTCACCCATACATTCACAATGGCCAGGAAAAGAGTCAAGAAGAGAACCCACGTTGGCGCCAAGAACCCCGTCTCTTCGGCGGCCCTCAACGGCCATGCCGACCGCAAGGACCCCAAGAGCATGGTCATCCGCATTGGCGCCGGCGAAGTAGGAACCAGCATCAGTCAATTGGCCACCGACGTCAGGAGAGTCATGGAGCCCGGTACCGCGACCAGGTTGAAGGAGAGAAAGGCCAACAGACTGCGCGACTACGTTACCATGTGCGGACCGCTAGGCGTCACCCATCTTTTGCTCTTCTCCAGATCCGAATCCGGAAATACCAACCTCAGACTCGCTATTGCTCCCCGGGGCCCTACATTTAACTTCAGAGTCGACAAATACTCTCTTGCAAAAGATGTGCGGAGAGCGCAAAGGCATCCCAAGGGTGGCGGCAAGGAGTTTCTCACTCCCCCATTGGTATGTTGCTGTCAACCTACTCTTTTCATATGGAGCATGCTAACGATGTAATCTAGTTGGTCATGAACAACTTCACAGATCCCAACGCCGACGCAAACTCCAAGGTCCCCAAGCACCTCGAGTCTATCACGACGACTGCCTTCCAATCCCTGTTTCCTCCCATCAACCCCCAGAGGACCCCTCTCAAGTCGATTCGCAGAGTATTACTTCTCAACCGCGAGAAGTCGCCCGAGAACGACGGCTCATTCATCATCAACTTCCGTCACTACGCCATCACAACAAAGGCCGTCGGCATGTCCAAGCCCCTCAGGCGGTTGAACGCCGCCGAGAAGCTCATCAAGTCCAAGAGCAGGAAAGGCGGCCTCCCGAACCTTGGCAAGCTCCGCGACATTTCAGAGTTCATGATCGGTGGAGAAGATGGCCAAGGCTACATGACGGACGGCACAAGCGGCAGCGAATACGATACCGACGCCGAGATTGAGATCCTAGACCAAGGCCCGAAGAAGGTGAAGAGCGCCAAGGCTCGGGCTGCCATCGCGGCGGTGGAGGCTGCCGAGGAGGAAGAGGAAGGTCATGACGACAACGTTGAGCGCAGGGCAGTAAAGCTCGTGGAGCTCGGACCTCGTATGCGGCTACGCATGACCAAGGTCGAGGAGGGCATGTGCTCAGGAAAGGTACTGTGGCACGAGTACGTGCACAAGACCCAGGAGGAGATTCGGGAGCTCGAGAAGAAGTGGGAACAGAAGAGGAGGGAGAAGGAGGCGCGCAAAAAGCAACAGAAGGCGAACGTGGAGAAAAAGAAGGCCGAGAAGGCTGCCCACAAGAAGGCGACCGGCGGAAAGAGCAAGGACGACAGCGACGACGAGGACGAGATGGACATGGACGACTACCCGTATGACAGCGACATGTACGATGCCGAGGACGGGTTTGACAGCGAGGGACTGGCTGGTGATGCTGAGGAGCAGGCCAATACCAAGATGGAGCAGGACGGCGAGTGGGAGGACGAGGAGGAGGAGATTGCCCAGGAGGCACAGGCGAAAGGAAAGAAGAAGCCTGCTTTAAAATGATGGACGTCCTGAAGTAGTGTACGTGGCGCAGACCCGGTCTCCTTTCCATTTTTGTCCATATTTCACGTCATGTTTTACGGTTAGCATATGCCCTCAATCACTGGGCCGGTATCTTGGGAATAACCCTTCATCGGAAAATAGTATTGGTGTTGGTAGCAAAGAAGAGAGACATATACCAGGTTGTTCGAGAAGGTCTATAGGTCTAGGTTCCTCGCAGCTTCATAGTATGAGACAATCACTTAACTCGCTCAGACCGCTGTCAACAACAACATTGTGTCAACACACCCATCAACTGTATGATCATCCTCACTGTGCCCTCCCTTATCCGCTCTCTGCCACACCCACGGTGTCAGTAACACCCTTCTCCTGCTAAATTAACCTTGGCAAGATACCAGATTTGCACCGGTCTGTAACGGTGTCACCCGTGGTTGCATCAACCATCCTCTCCCGGCTCAAGAAAAGAAAAGAAAAGAAAAAAAAAAACCAGATGACGGCACAACAGCAAAGTGGTAGGTTTCACACACTTGGGAGTACGGTAATACGCGACCTCAGCGACATGAGCACAGAGGGAGGGAACAGGACCGAATGGGATGGATTATACTCCTGTACTGTCCACGACCACAAGTTGCTGCCGGTACCCTATGTGCGAGATGTCGTGGTGTGGTCGTTAAGGTGGCTCGGTGGGAATTGCTTCTTTTTTTTCTTTTCACATAACCTGAACGTCTGGATAGGTGTCTATTTACTCCTCGTTTTCTTCGCTCTGTTTTTTGTGTTGTTGTTGCCGTCGCTGTTGTGTATTCCACCCATCATTCACTTCCACTTTCACTTTCACTTCCACTTCCTGAGCCAAGCCAGGCACTTATCAACCTCCAGCCTTTCGGCGACTCGTTGCCGTGTGGTCCCATCTGGAGTGCCGTCCGTGAGGTTGCGTGCGTGCGGTGCCCGTGGGAGGTGGTTCGAACTCGAGTGGGCAATGGCTTGATATGATCCCATTCATCATGAATTTTTATAGGGGGGTACAGGAGTGGATGTAACTTTGTTGCTGCACCTTCGGAAAGGACCTTCCGTACTTCCGTACCTGTCTGCCGTAGATACGCTCGGCTGGGTCTCGGATTTAAGGCACCGAGACAGCACTTGGGAGGTTGGGCTAAACGAATAAGGGGTGAGGGGGGGATCATCTTCTTGGCTCTTGTGGCTTTTTTGCTTGGAGGGGGAGATCTGTTCACGCTTGAAGCTCGTTTGGGTAAGGTCGTCGGCTGTGTTTGTTCATGGCTGGAAGGTACTTGGAGGGGCATTTTTGTCCGGAGATGGTGTTCTTCGTTGATGATCACGATTTTGGTCACTGATTTGAGCATTTGTGTTCATTCAAATGTTGTGATATTTTACGCCCTCAAAATACCGGGCACCTATGTAAATTTGGTGATAGTGAAGCCTAAAGTGCTAACACGTCGAATAAAGATGAAAATGAGGGAAAATATGCGGCGCAAAAGCTGGCGATGGGCATTTCGTCCTGCTTTCGCCTCCATCTCTCCTCCCTTTTTTGGTATCCTGACGATGCTGAAATAAATCAGGCGCCGGCCAGTGTGACTTCTCCCACCTTTCTTCCAAAGCGACACCAACAACACCCGTGGGTATCCGTTCTTCAAGATATCCCCAGGATAATATCCAAAAAAAAATCGCATGGCTCAGACTGCGCGCACGCAGGTATGCAATGCTTCTGACGCTGATGCATATTCCCATCCGGATCCCATGATACTCCCAAAAAAAAAAAAAAACCCAAAACAAAAGAAAATCAGCCCCGTCCGATGACTTGGGCCCCAAAACGCCGAAAACACCATCCCCCAACAAGAACGTTAAATCGTCGTAAATCATTGCATGATGATCGGGCTCAATATCGTTTGTCGCCTCAGTCGATCAGTTTCGCCGTCGCCGTCATGTTGTATGAATGCGTCGGCGGAGAGCAGCGATGAGATCACAAAACTCGCTCGCTCACTGCCTCTGCTGAGCCTCATACGCCCTAACAGCCCGCTCCAGCTCCTCAAGACTGCCACGGTCACCATAGGCGTCCGCCAACATGTTTGCGCGGCGCTGCCTCTCCAACTCGGCTTGCTCCATGGCCGCCACGCGCCGTTGCATTTGGGCTTCACGGTAGGTGCTGATGCCGTAGCCAATGGCAGCAATGCCTACTAGGGGTGGAAGCCTTTAGAGGGCAATGTGTTAGTTTAGATTACAAGATGGAGAGGGGAAAGGGGTGGTCTGCGGGGAAGTGGGACAAGACAAGACTAACCATTTGAGACCCTTGGAGGATTTGTGGGAGGCTTGGTAGAGGTGGGGGAGGGAGCTGGGGTATACACGAGCGGAGGTGGTGAGGAGGCGGGCAGGTTGTTGGCGGTTCATTTTGGCGTTTTTGAATGGTGTTGTTGATTGAACTTGTTGTTGGTCACGGTGTTCAAGAATAGGCGACAGCGCTCGAGCGGGCTTGTTGACTGTTGTTGTAGTGGATGATGATGACGATGATGTTTTCGATGTTGCAATAAGTGACTGATGCGTCTTAAGCTCGAATAAATAGATGATGGATGGGCTTGTAGATGTGATATATCGATGGATGATGATGATGATCTCTTCCGTTCGAAAAGGGAGGGAAGTGACGTCTTCTTATGTATTTCAAAGATGTGTTATTGTTGACGTCCGGTGGATCCTGTCGACGGCAGGCCTAGCTCATAGCGGCGGAGTCCTCGAGCGTGAGATGGCGTGGGGAAGCGGAGACTCCAAGAAGGTCCAAGAAGGGCCAAGGCAGGGCAGTGTGCAGATCGGGTTGCGGAGTTTGAACAACGTTTGTAAGACGAGATTGGGAACACTTTTAGTCGCCAGGGGGGAAGAGATGCTCTGATGTGTTCAGCGATCACCCTTACTCTGTTGTTGATGGGCACGAGTCAGGTATATGTAGGTATCCTTCTCCCCTTCTGTCCCTTTCGCATCAGGGTGTGTAGGTTGGGTATGTAGGTAGATAGCCAATATGGAATGCAACACCAGGCTCTCGTTCATATGCAAAAGCAGGCCTGTTAACCAAAGGGGGAGTCGGCAAGCCGTAAGATCATTCCTTATGGTGGTATGGAAGGCATCTGAGGGCATCCCATGGTGGGGTGATTAGTTTGATGGGTGGTGTCACCAGCTGTTTATTATTCCCGGTTCACCTCTCCATTGTCGTCTCTCTCTTTGACCACCCACTATCCCCAGACGTTCACTGGCTAGTGCGCCCTTGTTGCCGTCGTTCGATTGGCCGGGGATTGTGGTCAACTGTGGGGGGACAGCAGCGCCAAGTTCAAGCGCCAAGCCGAGGGTCAACACCCTCGTTACACAAGCCGTATGCCCGGAAGCGGCCGCCAGCTGCACGCACCCCAGACGGCTCCTGCAGAAAGTGCGTGGCCACCACCGCGGCCACTGAGGTGACTGCCTGACGCCGGACTCTCTCGCTGTCAACTGCTGCTATATGTACATCCTATCCCTACACTGAGCTTGGCCGGTCGCAATGCGCCCAGTTCTGGACAGGATGAAGCCACATTCCAAAACCTGCATGTGTGAGAGAAGGTGCAAGCAAGGAACGGATTGGCCCGGCGTCTAGGGAGATCTGTATGGATGGGAAACAAGACTGGGTCGAGAATCGTGCCATTTTAGCACCATCTCAACTAAAACGATCTCGCCGCCCACGATCTCAACACCACCGCGAAATTGGAAAATAATGTCAACAAAGACCCCTTTTTTCCGTCTGTCCCTCCCAGCGCCCAGCGGTTGCGGTGAGGTCTGGCCATACCCACGGCAACTTCGAGACGTTAACCGAACTGAAGCCCGACACAAGCAAGCTCGGCCTCAAACGGAGTCCCGAAGAACCGAGCTGGATAGAGTGGACCTCGTGAAACTTCTCCCGTCAAAGTTGTCGTAAAAGCTTCATGGGCTTCCCCAGTTACTGTCGGTGTTGGATTCCCCCCGATGCCCGTCATCTCTGTCTTCGTCATAGCCACGCGATGGGAGGAGGTCATCACTGCACTGGTCCTTCGTCATGGTGTTTTGTTGGTTTCCACTTCACCTCTGTTCAAAAATACACTGCCCCTAAAAATTTCCTCCTCCGCTGCCAACAACAACCGACGCTAACTGCCAGGCTTTCTTCTGGACCCCCTTCGTCAACAACGTCGTCACCGCCGCCAAGCGGTGATGATGTAAGTCTTGGCTCTGCACCAAAGCCCCAAAGGGTCCATTTTCCTGCCTTTTCAGGGAAATCAGGGTCCCGCACTAGGCCCACCGGACAATTCCCGTTTTACTGACGATGGCGATCGCTTCCATTGACGTTCTTGACGTCTTCTGCTCCCCTTTTCCCGCCTTGCAATGCTCCAAGTCGAGATTCGGAACCGCCCGATGACAGAATGACAGGTCGCTGCACACAGTACGGAAGTGCTTCGTTCATTGCCATGCTCAAAGCTGCGCATCATGGCATCTGCTGAAGAAAACACGGGGATGCTCACTTACATGCAGGAAACGAGGACGTCAGGCGTCTGCGCGATCATCGGATACGCATCGCATGAAGTTGTCCGACATGATTCGGCCTTTCCACCTTGAGAAATTTTGCCATGCCCGCGCCTGCGCGTATCTGCATGGTATGGCATTCTCTCCATTTAGCTCGCACGTGCGCCTCGTGCTGCACATCTGATATGGGATTCCCAGATCGTCACTGGGAACAGCATTACCATGATTGCCATCCTCATCATCATCACCATCGTCATCGCAATCCTTCAGATCCTCCACCCCAACACCCCTAAGCCCCTTATGTGAGGGTTAGGGTCTAGCACCGCAGATGGTACTCCGGCTTGTCTGGATCGATTCATCACATGTCATCAACTGGACGGATTATTTCACTCGGAAGTCTACTTTTTCATGTTGACCTTCTCGATGAAACGATCAAGGCACAATGTTGAGCGAGCTTGGGTCTCGATCTCGTGACTAGCAACCCGCAATTCGTGATCAATTTCGGGTAACAACACTCGGCGGTTCATGTGAGCACCAAACATGAAAATAATTTCGAAGACCTTTTGCATCAATTACTTGTGGATATACGCAGCTAAAGGTCTGTGAATGAGCTTTAAGCTTACTACTGTCCGGATGTGAGCCTAAATCGCTCGGCCTCACTCCCACACAGATTTGGAGTTGGCCCAGGCTACGCTAGGATAACTTTCAAGCGTTTCAAGGATGAGCTTGAAACTTCAAAGGTTTCGCAAAAGAAAGAAACATTTGATACAAATACTGATCCTCTAAAAACGAATCCAAAACCTAGACAAGCCAAACGCTTAATAACTTGAAACAAATCGCCGGAGAATACCATCAACAGTTCGAACGCCCGCTTCTACGACCCGAAGCACTCCGTTCTCGTCAGGCACCCAGTGCCTTGTGCCGCGCCGAATGGGAACCGGGGCCGGAACCAGAACCATTTTCCACCTCCGACTTTCAAAATCTCCAACCCTCTATCAAAATCACCAATATTCATCATTATTATCATTATCATAATCTTACACATTGGATGTCATTAATCCTCCCGTTGTCCATTTCGCCGACTAACAACCCCCTCCCATCCTACATCAAGTCTCTGACTTGATTATCGTGCTTAGAGGTAAGCGATTTTCCCGTCACACCGCTCAGGCTGAGCTTAGTGGGTCTCAAACAGTAGTCGTAGGCGTAGGCGGGACCGGGACGGAAGCCGTAACGGTAGGATTGGGCGGGGGACCGGTGGGTTTAGGTGGCGAGCTAGGGACCGGAACAGTAGCGGTCGGCTTGGGAGGCGCGGGAGGCGGAGGCAGTGCGCTACCGGTGCCGATGGGCTTGGGTGGCAGGGCCGGAGGAGCGGTGCCGATAGGCCTAGCGGGCAAGGGAGGCTGAGGCGGGGTGATTCCGGTGCCGAGGGGTAGGGGAGCCCCGGGAGGTTGAGGCGGGGCGATTCCGGTGCCGAGGGGAAAGGGAGGCCGGGGAGGCTGAGGTAGTGCGATCCCGGTGCCTAGGGGCATAGGGGGCCGGGGAGGCTGAGGCGGGGTGCCATCGGGACCGATAGGCCTGGAGGGCAGGGCCGGAGGAGCAGTGCCGGTGGGCTTGCCGCCGGCTTGAGGGAAGGGGGCGCCGAGGGCGCCTTGGAAGGCGGCAGCCGTGGCGAGGAGGGTGAGGAGGATGCGCGTCATTTTGACGACTCTATATTTCAGGACGACTCTATATCTTGGGGGATTTGGCGTAGGTTGATTTCTTGTTAAGTAAATAAGAGATTTGGATGGACTGGTTTGGCTTGATGAACTTGACTCTGCTGACCTTAATTGTTATCGACATTGGGAGGTTCGTGAAGGGGTTGTTATACTCATGGAGGCGAGTCTCCTTTCTAGCCCGCTTGGTAAACTCTAGTGTTTCATACTCAAACGCTCGCCTGTATTCAATGACGGGAAGGTAACATCCGGTATCATCATGGCCGTGACAGCTTAGCTTGCCTACTTGCCGCCTCGGAGTGAACATTGCCATTTTCCTTTCTTGTTGTCTCCCATCGTACTCTCCTGCGATCTTCACTCACGATATCGAATGGCTCAAGCAAGAGGTGTGTATGGAACACAATCAGATGAGGCTAAAGTGATGCCGGCCTCCAGTTAGACTCTATCGAATTCCGGGGTATGTTAGAAGTATGCCTGCTACCCGGATCACGTTATCCAATCATCCCAAAGCCAGGTCTGTAGTGGTTGATATAAGACGAGAGATCGACTATCCCGTTGCAATCAAGGTAATGCGATCGGTCGCATATATTTCGTGATGCTTACCTATTCAAGCGAACTTTTCGCCGTCTACAGTCACCGGCCGCTCTTCGTTATTGTACTCACTCTACTTCCCAAATTGCGATCCGAATTTGAAGACTTCTTCCCTAATACTTTACTTGAGCCGCGAGCATATTTAGCTCTCCTACGCGATAGTCTGATGCAACAATAACAGCCGCGATCCGAAATCCTCCTTAACCTCACAGATCTACATACTAACTTTGAAATAAACTTTAAGCTTACGAGAAAAAAGGATCCATTTAAGCGTCCCGCAGGCCGGCCATCAATTCTTGGGTCGCTTTTCATATCCATCCAGTGCCGGCAGAATTATACAATGTCCAGTAACATTCCGCTCTTGCCAAGATTTTCTTGAAATGTCAGAGTCCTGACCATTGTTACAGTACACTCTGGAGAAACAGGGGGTAATTGCAACTTTGTAAAGGGACGGGAGGTATGTAGGAGTAAGCTCGTGTTAGCCTGGTACGTGAGCTTATTTCTTCTCCGATGGCGAAACCTTGGATTGGATATCCGGGACTCTTGGGGCGTTTCATGGTTAAGGTTACGGCAAACACTCACAGTAAGTTTTCATCATTGGAAAGCTGCAAAATGAACGAAAAGAGATGCGGAGGAAACGTCTCCGCACATCCCGTATCAGGAGCGGGCTTGCGATCTATAAAAACCTCCAATGTTTCAATGGTTTCGGATGCCCATGTACTATCAATCGATTGTCGCGCCTTACGTATGAAACGTCTGGATTTGCAAACGTATGAGGTATCCAGGTGGCGGAAGGAGTGTAATCTGGTAGTGAAAAGGCTTTCAAATGCCCCGAACACGAGACGTTGTTCATTCAACTTTTTTTTTCTTTGAATAAAAAAAAAGGCAAGAAAAAAATCGAGAGTTCTACGTACAGGTCACTAAAGACCAAGCTGTCAAAAGACCGTTCGCGGGTATATTTTAAGAAACACCTTGTCCCAGTACAGCCTGTGGTAGCTCGCTATCTACTATGTTGATTCCCCTGCGGCCCGATACCCAAAACAAGAAATCCGAAAGCCCACGGACTGTCAAGACTCCGTTCCATGAAAGATCATCAAGGGGTTGTGGCTGGGAGAACTATCAAAATGAAACCCATAGCCTAGGTTGAATGGACGTCAGGAAATCGATCAACATAGTCATAATAAGCTCTTATTGTGACATGGTCCGCTCTCCCACATCCCGAACTTTATCTGGTAGCTAAAGCTTTTCCGGGAACCAAGAGTGAAGAATGCCACATAATGCCACTAGCATTATGTGCAAGTGAGGCCAAAGAAAAACCATGATATAAGAGTAGGCTTATTGACCTCCCGGGTCCCTCGATCGTCCTCAATAGAACGATAACATCTCAAGTCGTGCCATGAGTGCTCGAAGAGGTGAGAAACAGGAAAGTATTTGTATATGTACAGAAATATAAACAAAGAGAGTACGAGAACGCCGGATATGTGCAATGGGAAATGCGCAGTCCACATCAGTCGATATCGATCAAGAATGACCGGAAATTCGTGCCCAAAACCCACAGAGTGTCGACTGCCATCCACTACTCATTTTTCTGGGTAGCAGAGATGAAACGAATCATTGCTCCACGCTCAATTGCAGTGTGACCACCAGTCACTGAGCTTGACACAGCTATACGGAGCCCGGCAGGAGGTCAGGCCCTTATAGCCATTTCCGCCGCATTGTCCCCACTGGTTGACCAGCCCAGCAGCCGGAGTAGGCGCAGAGATAGCTGTCGTACTTTCAGCCCACAGTGTCGTAGTCGACGTGCTCTTAGCAGTCGCCGCGGGGCCGTTGACCGTGGCTGTAGCCCAGATCGTAACCGTAACCCAGGTAGTGGCAGTTTGCACTACGGGCGTGGAAGAAGTCGTGGTGGAACCAGGCAATGAGGTAGTTTCAATCGTCGGGATTATACCGACACCGCTTCCGCCGGTTGAGCCAAGGGCCGAGGCAACGCTGTCGAGGAAGCCGGCGTTGGCCCAGACTTGGCTCATGTCCCACATCATGACGCCGCCAAAGCTTGAGAACGTCTGGGCGTACTTGATTACGTTGGCCAGCTGGCTTCCAGCAATGTATCCGGTACCTGCAGCTGACGAGCTGCCCGGGACTCCCAGGAGGATCTTCACATCTTTGTTCTTGCTGACGGTTTTGGCCCAGTTGTCCCAAGTGCCAAAGTTGAAGTTGTTCTGACTAGGGGAGCCAAATTGGAAGGTGTGTACACCACAGTAGTTGTTATAGAACTGGACAGAGACAAAATCGAATGCCACAGATTGCAGAAGGTCGTTGTTAGCGCGATCTGGGAAAGGGCATTGTGGTGCTGAGCTCAAGAGGAATTTCTTGCCGAAAGTGGCAGCGGCGGAGTCCATGAGTGAGCGCAGACGAGTGGCGAAGGGGACCATGTTCTGGGCGACGGCTTCGAAATCGAAATCGAAACCGTCGATAACAGCAGTGCCAAAGGGGCGCTTGTCTGAGTTGGAGACTGGGCCAAACATGGCCCAGAGACGGTCGGCCCAGCTGATTGCCTCGGCCGGGGAGCTGAAGCCGCCCTCAGAGTAAGTAGCGCCGCCAATGGAAAGAAGAATGGACTTTCCGAGGGACTGGCAGGTCTTGATATCCTCTCTGTGTCCTCGAAATGGTGGTTAGAAGTTTGGTGTCCCTGTGAGGGGGAAGTGAGTTGAAAGAGTAAGGAACTTACTCAATCTGAGTGCATTTGATCAGTTTGGTGCCAGGGAAAATGCTACAATCGTCTCCAGCATTCGAAAAATTCATCTCAGTGTCTCTAATCACATTGAGAAATGCCAGAGGAATAGTGTTGACGTTTGTGTCTATTTGGTTCAGTGTTAGATCAGTGACAGGAAGGCTGTCTGGCCCAATTTTGAACCAAAAGTGAAGGTGAGGTGATAGCTACGTACTGCGGCAGTAGTAGGCAAGGCGCTGCTGACCACCGACTTGGTTCGCAGAGTTCTGTCCTGTATCGCGAGCGTTGAAAACGAGGTTAGTTCCTTTAGCCCTTGAATGACATTCGACGAAGTGCGCGCCATGTCGGTTGTAAAGAAGCTGCTTACCCCAGTATATGGCGATATTTCCGGTCGCAGTCGACGAGAAGCCCCCAAGTGCTCCAGGCAAGGAGTTGACGAGCGCAAAAAGCGCAACGAGCATCGAAGACGAGTACATCTTGGAGGAAAGAGTGGACTAGCGCTGAAGAGGGGACTACCAAGGACGTGTAGTGGTATAGAGGTTTGTGGTGGGGAGAGAAAGTGACTTGGTGTTGATGAAGGGCGAGGAGGAGAGACTGCACCCAAGCAACGATGGGTAGAAGAAGGAGGAGGTGGGCAACCGCCAGTGAATGGAAGAAGCGTTTTGGAAAAAAGAGGCGGGCGAGGGAGGCAGAATCTTGCGGCTCCCCAGCAACAGTTCTCAAAATCGGGAGGTGCGGAAGGTACGACTTGGGATGAAATAGTAAAAGGTGAAGCCACAGCCTGGGGTTTGATCCTGTCAAGGAAGGTGCGGTGACGGCAGGTCATTCGAGATATAAACTCCACTCCTGCTTGCCCTTCAGTCCTATTCAGGGTCCGTACAGTACTTAGTATATATCTCTTATTCACGCGGCGAAATTGAGTTGACTTCGAGTTTGCTTCGAACTGCTAATTCCTTCCCCCCTTCTCAAGTCTCGATCCCACGTTGTTCTTGCCACGACGTGATACCCGTGATGCTGGCACGTAGCACATTCTAACACGCGCTCTTTCCCTTGATGGAATGGAAATGAAATGGAAGACAAACATCGAAGGGAAGCTGGCTGGAGAAGCTCGCTCTACACCAGAGCGGATGGAATGAATGAATTCTTTTCGATGGAATGCTAGAGCGCGTGCCTATTATATGTCAAGATCGCAACAGCTAGTACCCAAAATAGGTCGGTCTGGAACCATTCAGACCATGTGCTTTTTGATTCGGTCTCACTATACATGTTGATGAGCTGAGCTTTTCTTGACATGCACCATCTGAAACCCTCCAAGTCAAGCGTGTATATTTCCGTTGATGTCGCAAGTAGGCCGCCTGTGGGATCTGGATCTGGCTTCGCGAGAGAGACTAAAAAGGTGGCAAAACTTTTGGGCCATGTTTGGACGATCCGACACTGAGTGTCTAGTGTAGCTCTCCCGATAAATCCATTGCGAAGCCTCAGCTCTATCACAACGGCTTTGATCATGATGGAACCGAGTTCACTCTCCACTCATCGTTTGCACTTCTAGTTTGTTGCACGGTACAATAGGGTTTTCTGCGGATCTCCTCCACTCCAGCTTTTATCAATTTCCATTCATTACACTGTTTAACACTTGCGTCAAAAGAGGCCAGTGTTGACTGCCACAATGTGTCAATCGGCAAGGGACCAAGTGACCACCCATTTGTTACAGGGCACATAATAGATAGTTGAACAGTCTGGGATAGCGTAACAGTTGTATTTGAAGTAAAGCAAAACATGTGCCACGCTTCGTGCGCGTCTTGAAGTTGTAGTGACACCATGCAAAGCTGTGAACCCCTTGCTGAAGGGCTTTCTTTCATCACGGACTCGGCGACCCTCAGCTAGGGTAGATGGTGACATGAAATGTCAATGAGTCGTGATTCTCGGGGAGTCTTGTGCTGGAATAGCACTAGCAATCTCGAGTTTGACGCCTATTGGTAACGTTGCAAGGGTGACTTGTCAACCATCCAGCACTTTATGTTCCCGCGGGAACTACCATTGTACAGGAATACCAATCGGTAAAAGACGAGATGAAGACTCGGCAAGGGGTCGTGCAAAATGCCTCGAAGGATATGAAGTTGTGATTGCACCTGGCGGTTCGGCTTTGTCGACGTCATGTGTCCGGAGATGTTCTTGCGTAATGGTAGGGCAGGGTAGTCAGCCGTTGTCGATGCAATTCTCGGTGAACCTTTCTCCCCTTGCGAGCCAAGCGATTCTGATCTTACAGTGTGGCTTTAAGCTTTCAGATTTCCTTAGCCAAGCCTTTTGAAGCCACTCTTATCCCCCTCGTCCATGGTCACTGTAGGTTTTTGTCGGTGGGATCGCTCCTCGCAACAGTCCATCGGTATCCAGGTCTGTTTGAACACCATTATCCCGATTGCTTCTTGATCTCCGATAATCCTGCGAAATGCAACGGTTGGCACGCGGCCTGTCTACACCAGTATCTCCGTTGTTGTCTTTTCCATCGTCGTACCCAGCACAAGTCTCTGCGCGCTGCGTCCTAGGCCGAACCCTCCTCGACTGCCTTGACTCTTGACTGCTTGATCGCCGCTTGACATCCATCATTGACCATGGCGAATCTTTGACACGAACTTCGCTTGGTGTCGATGGCTTTCCTACTTCGTCCTCCTTTTCCGCAGAGATGTCGTACAACCCAGCCCCATGAATCCCACCCCACTTGTTTGTACGATCATGGCTCTCCTCCCCGCCTGTTAATATATCCATGTTGAGCGGGTGCATCTGCCCGCCAGAAGGCTTGATGTGAAATTGGTGCTTCGACCGCCGCCATTCGCGGTTGAAAATGTAGTTGTGCGGGTTGCCGGTCGCTTCGAGATCGGGGCGCCAGCCATCAAAGGTAGTGAAACTGTGGTAGTTGTTCGACAGAGAAAAGGAATTGTGTCGACGGTTCGATTGCTTGAGGATCTTGCCGAGGAATTCGGCAATATTCATCTCAATGTAAAGTTTGGCCATGTAGGTTAGGGGATGGACTTGGACGTAAAGAGCGTCGTTGCGAAGAGACATGAGACCAATGATCAGGACCTATATCGAAGTGCGCTCGTTAGCCCAAGCATCATATGTACGTGAACAAAGGAATGATGCCTACATCAAGCGAAAGTGATATAAAGACCATAAACAGATTAAATCTGTATACGAGTCTGTACTTTGTCAACCCGTTGGCGACTAGTTTCGACTTGATAAGCCACATAAAGTAATAATTGAGGCCACCGTCAACGGCCATGAATAGGAACTTTTCAACTCGATCCCAGACCTCGTTGACGTGGATCCACATCTCGCTCACCTGGAGGCGGGCAGGGATCCAAACAATGAACACGCTGACATTGATGACGCCGATGGCCAGGAAAATGTAGACCTTTAGCTTTCTGGCCTTCTCAGGGTTGTAGAGGATAAGGGAAATCCTGTTTGTAAGAATTTGCATAAGGCATTGAGTCTGGGACATGAGGCGATGGTCAGCACATGTTTGTTTGTGAAATAGAGTAATGGTTTGGGAACCAATGCGTACCTTGATGGTCCAGGCAATGACTGACATGTAAAACAATGGCGATTGATACGTTAACGCTTGCCTCTAGCACCAATGACTTGTTGAGGATGTGACTTACTCAACGTCAAGAAGTACCAAAAGCTGTATGGTATCATCCCAAGTCAGCAAAGCTCCTAATTGCATTAACAGAAAACCAGGTCGAAAAAAATTTGGTGGCAAAGTAATTGAATGTACCTTGGCTGAATGATACCTCTTAGGAAAAGCCAGCTGCTGACCGCAACACCAAGACATGAAGCCCACTCTACCCAAATCATGATGATATATGGATTCCAGAAGTGGCAGCGTCGAAAGCTTCGGAGTGTCTGCTTTACTCCCTTGGCGAGTACACAGATAGCAAGGGCCAGAGTGAAGCCCCATAAGAACGTCGCCAAGATGAGGTCGCTTTCCGTTGGCTCATACGGTTTGTACCACGGCGGGATCAGGAATCCGACCATCTTGGTACGTCGTATATGCCCTTTTTTCGTTGTTGTTGTCGTTGTAATTTTGATCCATGTCAAGTAAAAGGGTCAACCAAGCTGCGAAGAAAGCGGAAGGGCTGAAGATCATAAACAACCTGGTGCTGAGATCGTGTATCCACCGGACCGGGTAGACTATTGATCTCGCTTGCGTTACCCTCGTCGGCTTTGTCCCCATGGGGTGAGATTGGCCGATGCATTCACATGGGATAGAGGTTGAAAGATGCAACGAACCATCGAAAGGGAAATAAGATCTAGACAGGCATAAATTAACACCAGGATGCTACATGACGCTACATTAAATAACCAATTGTCCGCCAACAGGGGACTCCGACAACAACGAGGAGAAAGGGATCATAAGCACTAGCCTATGTGAGCGATGAGGACGGATAAGCTGTTCCTGAGCCGGGCAAAGCAACCGAGGAACCGGAATAAAGAGAAAACATGCATGTCTCCTCAGAATATCGCTAATGGCTAACCGCAACACTCTGGGATGACAGTCAAGGCGTTGAAGATAGCCGTGCGAGGACGGCGACGTGGTTCAACCTCTGCGGGGAGGAGTTGTAATGGCAGAGTACAAGGATAGGTAAACCGACTCCGAGCCTCTTGCGTCTGATGTAGCAATTATTGTTGTGTCTCGGTATATTGATAGAACTCCAGTCGGGCCTGGAAGTGAACTCCAGAACAGATCCGTGCCCGGGGCCGGGTGCTCCCGTCGTCACTGATGAGCTTGAGGATCCTTGGGTCGACTGTAGTCGGCTGTCGTTGTCACAAGACAAGACAAGTTGGCGGCGCGGGAGAAGAGCTTGAATAGAAGGAGGTCTCATGCCGTTTCATGCTTTGAATTCGCGGAGGTGTGATGAGGTTACATCGCAACAATTATTGGGGAGCATTGAAGTGAATGATGAACGGCGACATGATGTCTCTGTCGTGTGAAATGGTTTTTCTCCCTACCGTTACTACGTCGACTGGTGAGGTTCGTTGTGCCCACTCACTGAAAAAGGAAACTCCCGCGAGAGCGGAGCGGAGGCGGTTCCTGCCCTGACCCTGCGTGTCGCCCATCAGTGGGCCCCGGCCACTCCTTAGCGATAGGTGTCCGTACCCGACCGCCCCAGGCGCAGGGGCACGCCCTATGAAGATAAGGGGGCGTTAGGTGGATTAACAGGAGATACAGGATACAGGGGCGTTAACCATTAGTTCTGTTAACTCCGTTAGCGACCCTCCCAATACGAATCACCTACCTCCTCGCTCCCCGCTACTCGCGGTAGGTATTGGCCCGGAACCATCCGTCGCATCGCTTCAAGGTACCGGGTGTAGTGTAGAGGTAGCTAGAGGTAGCTAATCCCTACTGCGCTCCAACAACTTTTGTGAATCCCGTCTGGCTCGACCACGACATTAATCTCTCTCCACCACTGTCACACTGCTGCTGCCATTTCAAAGCAATCTGACAACAAGCAGCCGATTGACCAAGCATTGCACAATCACTATTCACTGGTGCCACTCACTTTTGTTCTGCTTGATCATTTCGTTGGAGCCTGTTCTTAATCATGGATCAAGAGTCATCATCACAGCATCCAAAAGGGCATCAAAGGACGCGGTCTGCTGTCAAAGGTAGGTAGTGTGTACGTATCTCAGCTGGTGGGCCGATGGCTCAGACCTTCGATCGTCAAACGTCAGATCTGACAAGTAGCTAAGCCATCTCTCGTCTTAGCCACCCGCCCACGCTCATCCACCAAGGGACCCCTTGACGTTGGCGAGTGAGTCCATACCATCCAGTGCTCTGAACGTCGACTGACTGTGGCGCAGCACCCCTCTGGCATCTCATCTCCTGCCCCCTCAAACACAACAGACCGATCAACAAACATCATCGTCACACGCGGAGCAACAACATCAGATGATTCCCGGCGGACACGGACACCAAGCCAGGGCTCCGGTCTCCGGCTCCCCGCTTCTCCCCCGTTCCCCAGCAGCCCACTCTCCCGCTCCGCCCCACTCCCGCCGTCAACCGCCACCCTTGTCCCTGTCCCCAGCCGGCCCGAGTCCCCGCATGTCTTTCTCTCCGGGCCCCGGTAGTGGCGCTGCCTCTGGACGCGGCGCTCCACGCCCTCCACCCGACTTCTCCCACCTCCTCCGTCCTGACATCTACCATGAACTGGCTCCCCTCAACGTTCCGCCTCCTTTTCGCCAGTCCGCGAAACAACCTTCAGCCTCTACACCCATCCCCGATCTCCTTGCCGGAGGCCACTTCCGGGCTGCCGCTGTTGCTGCCGCCCAAGCACTCACTGGAGCCAATGGTGCTCCTGCTCCGGACCCGGCCGACCATGCCCTTATTCTTTCTCTGTTTTATGTCCGCTTGGCCTGCCTAACCCTCATTGACGCCACTGCTCTCGCCACTCAAGAGGTCAAAGCTCTAGAAGATCTGAATGCTACCTTTTACGTTGATGAGACTGGCCACAACTTGATCCCTTGGGAGCTACGTATCTTGGCGGTCCGGTTGCAAGCTATTAGCTTCGCCGACCAGCGGCGTGCAGTCATGAGCTACTACGACCTGGCCAGGGAGGCACGCTTGCGCTTGGCCGAGGCGGCAGCCAAGCACGACAACTCGGAAAAGCAACTGTGGAGAGAAAGGCTAAACGATCTGGGCGTTAGGGTCGCCGGCGTCCTGGTCGAAATGGATGACCTTAAGGGGGCAGTTGAGCACTTGACCTCGCTGAAGGAAAGTGATAACGGGAGTGGTAAAATGCAGATGGCGAGAGCTCTGTTGTGGTTACATCTGGGAGATGTTGACGCCGCGAGGGGGTGCGTGAAGCCCGCGGAAGGCAGCGAAGGCCCTTCGGATAACATGACGGAGAGGATTCTGCATGCCTTGTGCGACATGGCTGATGGAAAGTACTCCGAAGCATTGAATCAGTGGGAAGAGTTGAGCAAGGTTTCAGATGACGAGATGATTGGTGTAAACAGGGGAGTTTGTCTGCTTTACGTTGGAAGGTTGCAAGAGGTAAGTCCTTGCTGTTCGAACCTGAACTACCTATCAAGTTGCTAAACTGAACATGGCGATGTAGGGCAAAGATTTGCTTGAGGGTTTGGTGGACTCCGGTAGGACCTCACATACTCTTCTCTTCAACCTGACGACCATGTACGAGCTTTGCACGGAGAGGTCCCGAACCTTAAAGGTCCAACTGACAGAGAAGGTGGCTGCCTTGGAACCGACATCCTTTGGGTGGGAAAAGACCAATGCCGACTTTAAGCTTTGAATTGGCGTATGTTCATACGTCACATCGCTGTGCCATCAAGGATGCAGAACAGCGGACGGGGTCCAGCCACAAGACAGAAGATTATAAAATTGATACCCTGGTAATTGAAGCAGCAAGTCACAGTTCATTAGATGCAGTATTCCGGATCACATGTCTTTTTACACACGAAACCGCACATAATACGCGACGACCAAATCTTAACCAAGGCTCACCGAAAACGTACAGTGTCCTCCAACTGATGGTCACTAACCAGGAGGCGCATCCAAACCCGCACGCCCATGCGACCTCATCCAAAAACTCCATGCCGAACCGTCAAAAACACCACATCGTGGCTGAAATGCCCCCCTGTCTCCGAGGAAATAAAAAAGATTAAGAAAAAAAGGGGGGGAGAAAAAAGGCCAATGAAATCCTCCATTACAGTTGCGTTGTGCTGGTATATGGCTCATAGCTAGCAATTGGATCCCTCGCTTGCCTGTTGCCAGGAGGGCTGGGAGCCGGCTTCCTCTTTTGAGTGTACTCATCCGGAGCCGCGCAGTCCTCGTCAAGCCGGGGTTTCGAATCTGGTGAGCCAAGGGCAGACACCGGATGGTTCGCAATGTCGTCTACACCTTGGGGATGTTGCTTTTCGACCTGGACATAGTTATGCTTGCCGCCCACGAACCCGAACAGCCCGTTCTTCTGCTGAGGTTGCCCGGCACCATCACTTGCACCGTGATAGACCTCGATGCCTTCGATATTGTAGCTGTTGCCGCTATCCATCAAAGGCATTGACTTCTCCTTGGTAGGACGAGCAACAGGCCGGTTCCTCCTGCGACGCCGCTGGCGGGTCGGATCCTCCATGAGCGAACGGCCGACATACAAGATGCTCGCCAATAGCGAAATGAAGGCACCCACACAAGCAATAACAATAGCGGACATGCCCAGGTTGCTTGTCAAGCCAATAGATCTTGAATAAGTGGCCATGATCGCGTTATGAAACTGGTTGAAGACGACAATCGCCGAGATGGTCGCGCAGATTGCAAAGCACGTCGAAATGGCGCTCATGACGCCCGCTCCTCTCGGCGAAAAGCATCCCACAATGGACACCAAGAAGTTGAATATGTTAGAAGCGATAAGACCGCTGGACATGAAGGCGCTAGCTGTCTTGTAGGACTCCGTGGCTTTCAAAAAGGTGCCGTCCACTTTTCCCTGCAACGCAGTGGCCGAGAAATGGAGGACTTTCGGAATGTCGAAAAAGTAGCCAACGTACGAGCTCATGCACGAGGTAGTCCCGTTGCCGCGCCCACAAGCTGTGAGTAAGCCAACGGTGTATCTGCTGGCGACGCCAAGTGATTGGGCGGTGGAGTTCGGTCCAGTATGATCTGTGCTGGAGACCATCGAGGTGTCATTCAGAATACTCGACTCCCCAAGCTTCGGGGGAATTGACATCGACGACACATCGACCTAGAATGTAGCGGTCAGTTGTCGTCGACTTCCCCAACGGATGATGCATAAGCACTTACTTCCAGAAAGTAGACGCCATCCAGCCACGTGCTATGCTGACCGAATAGGGCCGTACTAACGAGGACGAACGCAAGAAATGACAGCAAGCCGGGAGCCAGCGTCCAAAAGAGGTTCCGCGTCATTTCTGCACGACAATTTTCCACCAACAATCTGCGAAAATTATCCTGAGAGTGACAAAGGAAGACAAACACTACGCGCAAGCAATTACTTCTCACGTTGCGCAAAAAGACGGGAGGACATATGGGAGGTTATACCCAACAGGACCAATCTCCAGTTCTTGAGACGAACGTCAACCTTGGACCTAGGGTGGAGCTGGATGGTACCGTGTCATGTTGGTATTTGCGGAATACGGACAGCAGATAAGTGCGCCAAGAGCATCACCAGCCTCTCAAAACGTACACTGGGATCCGCTTGAGGCTCAAGCAAATCTTGAGACTCCTCAGTGGAGAGCTATCTTTAAGCGGTCTGCGATTCTCAAAGGATGCTAAAGATGCTCACCGTTGGGAAGAAAGACTCTTGGCCGTGGCGCGGATGCGGTGCTGGTGGATATGTAGTGTGAGAGGGGAAGGCAATGCGCCTCTATAATAAGAGCCATTGAACAACAACCGACAACAACCCTCCCCTGGAGAGACACTTCAACATCGCTCCAACAGGTCCACGTTGCGCGCCTAGTGAACGCTTGTTTTGTGGGGCACTCCAGCTACAGAGCTACAGTTCAATACTGGTTTGTTCGTTAGCTTAAGACCTCGGGTCAACTTCCGTGGGCGTCTTTATACCTAACTAAATCGCTTCGTTTCATGCTTAAAGTGTGATCTGACGTTCAATACGATATTTCTGATATAATATGTCATAATAAGTTGTATCAATGTCTTTGTAATTCGTACTCAGCCATTCAATTTGTCCTAGTGAGGTTTGGGCCCATTCTGGATAGATCTCGCCCAGTAACTATACGAGGAGCACCAAGCTACTAAACAAACCAGCATTGAATTATACAAGCTCACCTCCCCAGTTCAAGTTCTATCAGGATGATCCGTTTGGCTACCGATCCCAGTTTCTCCACCTCAGGTGTCAAGAATTTCGATATGGCGATATTTGGGTTTGCCCAGCTTACCGTTTGTTAGGTGATAGGTTATGTAAGGTATTTTTCTTTTCGCGCCTTGGAACAAAACATAAAATCAGGTCAGGCCTTGAGTGGAAAACAATTCGTGATTCCTTCGTTTCGACTGGTCGGTAGAGGTATTTTCTTGATATCATGACATCGACATAGGTTAATGCGCCCGTTACCTCTATCATATAAGCTGACCCAAATTCTTTCCCGTATGTTTCGAGCTCAACGCCTGGGGAATGCTTTGTAGAATGGCTTGATTAGTATACATTGTTGCTTTTAAAACTTTTCGGAGTGAAAGGGAGCAAAAGCGCTTGGATACGGTCAAGTAATTGAGTTACGGTACGCATTCATCTTTGCTTTTGCTTCCTCCCCATATGAAGGTGCGTTCATGTCATCAAGAAGCATATGATCCTAGTGTATACAACCGAAAAAATGCAAAACAATTCAACGACCGCCGGACAGATGCACACTCAAATCAATGAACAAAACCAATGCTCAAAACCAGTTCAAATAACACATTATTAACATACATCCGGTCTCCGCCAGGGAGAGCTTCAGATTGCCGTTTTGTTCATTTTTCCCATTCCCCTCCATCATCAGCTCAGAAGATACCATAAACCATGACCAAATTTCAACCCTCTTAAGCAAGAGCAAATCCAAGCGCCGCAACCAAGACACTGAAAGAGACACCAACAGCTCCAGCACCGCTAGTGGGCATGGTAGAAGAGGTAGCAGACGACCAAGCACCCGAGGCAGAGGCACTGCCGCTGTGGACAGGAACGAGGGTAGTGCTGCTGCTACCACCAGAAGAAGAACCATCGGACGAGGAGGCCTTGGCAACGGAACCACCAAAGATACCACCAGCAGGCGTCACGTTGCTCGCCGCCGCCTTGGCTGCCGTCGTGAACTTGTCAAAGTCGTCGGTGCTCTTGGCGTTGACGGCGCCGACCATGCCAGCTTGGCAGTGCTTGCCCTGGGAGCAGTAGAACCACAGAGGGGTGGTCGAGTTGACTGTTACACGGAAGACGTTGTCCTGTGATATCCCGTTAGTGTCAGGGAAAAAAAAAAAAAAAAAAAAAAAATCTCTTATCTTGAAAAGATGCGAGGATGATGATGTAAGGAAGAAGAACATACAGAAGCAACGCCGGTCTGAGCAACGGGGAAGAAACCAGAGTAAAAGCCGTTGTCGGTCTTGGGCTCGCAGGGCTTGGCCGCGGTGGAGGTCACGACGCTGTGGTTGTGGGCGTAGAACCAGAACTCGAGAATGTCGCCGACGTCGGCCTTGATGTTCGCCGGCTCAAAGGTCAGGCCGGACTCGCCAACCTTGACGGGGATGGTCTTGGCAGAGCAGGCGGAGGAGAAAGCCAGGGTGGCGGCAAGGAGGATGTTGCTGAGAGAAGGCATCTTGTTTGTTGATTTTGGTTTTGTGATTGGTTGATAGATTGTCAGTTGGTTGGTATGGATTAGGGTATTGAGCGGAAATGAGCTGGTTTCAGGAATCGAATGGAAAAAGAAATAAACGGGTGTGTTTTGAAAATGAAGATCCTCCAGGGACGTATGGTTTTGAGTGTATTTGAGCTGGTTTGAGTTGATTATGATGGTGAATGGATGGAGGGAAGCGTGTTGGTCTCCTTATATATATGCTGTCGTCCTCACAGCATCGTCCGCCATGGTCATTGCAGCGCTTAGTTCACGTCAGTATTTCTCCCCGTCGTGTTCATGGAGGATCCTCCAAGATGTTTCAAGGATCCATTACCTGTTCCTGAGGCTTGAGACTTGGGAAGGTCTCGTGAGTGGTTGGGAAGGTCTCGTGAGTGGTTGGGAAGGGAAGAATCCTTGGTGTTTACAAAGTCTTGCTATCTTAGCACACAGGCACACAAGAAGGACAAGGGGACGCAGCCTCAGCCCAGACAAAGCCCCAGCGCTGAGGCGACCGGCGGTTGCACCGGACAGCGACCAGCGGTAACGGTGACCTCTTCAATGGCTGGCTGGCTCGGTCGTGGCCCTGTGGGAAGCTCGGAAGGCTCCTTACCCGCTGCGATTATGGCAGGGCTTTGTGACACTGGTTGATGGGGTGCCCATGGCGCAAGTCGTAGAAGCGTCTTATATGAGTCTGAATGAGCCAATGACGTCGGATGATATCTCCAGAATCTGGAAGCGAAGCTGGGGGCAGGAGGTTTCGGATCTCGGGGACGCCAAGCATTCTGACAGTTCTGAGGCAATCAGGGGTCCAGGGGTCTGGAACCTGAGACGCTTCACACCAATTGAGGTAGCATTGCTTTCGATACCCCTGATGCTAACAGCTATGGTATAGTTTTGAGTGTGACTATGTTAGCATGCTAGCACTTATCCCGAATATGGTTTGGCTTATCACACCTCAACGCATTCTCAAGGAGTCAATCAAGATGCGAGATGAAAACAACCAAGCCAGACGCTTGGACGAAACAACGTCAAAGCAGTATGTTGTACCGATTACATAAATCCTTTTGCGAACAGATGACAGAACACATGGGTTGAACTTAACAATCATTGCTTGGACTGGATTGAGTGTCCTGCCAATGCCATCCGCGGCCGAACAAAAGGCCAGAAAACATCCCGCCATAAGAACAAGATGATTGTTTTGGGCCTCTATGAGGACAGCAATTGTGTGTCTCGTTGCCCCGCGCTTATTGCGAATCGCCTCGAGAGCCAAAACAAAGCGCCCGCCGCGGCTCATCTCTGCCAGAAGGGATGTGCCCAATTATGCCCAAAACCTATTTTGGCAGTCGGACATCAGCCGCAGCGCGGTTAAGACTTGCTTTCTGGCGGCGAACGGAGCGACCGTGACCATTCCCGGCCGTCTTTCGAGGCCGACGATAGTTACAACCAATTGAGTAAAAAGACTGGGAACTGTGACAGAAAAACATAGAAAGTCACTCTGCTGAGTGGTCGCTCAGAGGAAGTTGCTTTGAGCGACGATGGGAATCAAAGACGACCAAAAAAGATGTTTTGCGTTGACAAGGACGAGATTCGAACTCGCGAGGTTTCCCATTGCGGTTTCAAGTTAATCATTTGATAACCTAAACACAACGCCTTAACCACTCGGCCACCTTGCCTAATGAAATTGTTATTAATCTGTGTTTAGCTTGGCATCATCTAGTCGCGTGGCTGCCTTGGCTCATGGTGTTCGGATCAAAAGGTGAGAAGATAGTTCAAGCATGGTGACATTTTGGCAGACCCTCGCAGAGTCAATTGGTTCACAACATTGAGGCTTTGGGGTCCAACTGTCGTCATCGAAAGCACGTCTTCCAAGGACGTGAACGCGTCCAATCAACTTCCATTTTTTAATCCAGATGTGCTATAGACTGGGTATCATCAAGTAGCCGTAAACTCCTTAGCCGCTGAACTTTAGGGTAACCAACGTAAAAGACAAACCTCGTAAACACCGTGCACATCCATATGCCCCATAGTCCACAAGGAGAATGACAGAGACGACAGTGATCAATAGTAACCGTGACTTTTACGCCCTTTGTGTCGGTCACTGTTGTGGCCGCCATGTCGACTTCGCGAATAAGGACTCCAGCCATGGTCGGTATGATTTCGATGTGACGAATGCGAGTGATGAGCACTCCGGCTCGAGTGCCGTGGTTCATCTGGGATTCTTTCCTCGACCTCCTCTTCGATTTCCTCGTAGACATCATCGAAATATTCCGCCACTGTTTCCCGCTCGAAGCGGGCGTCTTCATGGTCGAAGACGAATCGCAAGGTTCCTTCAGACGACTTGCCATTCCTCTTGACAGTGATATTTCCAGGTAGCGAGCTGTTAGTTGCAGGCGAGATCGCAGAGCCCGGCGTGACGGAAAGGGCATCCGAGCTGTCTTGGGCACACTTGTCGCACCATGCAAAGTGGCGGTGATACCGATTCCCTGATAGCATCTTGTTGATGTCAATTTTAACGTCCATCAACTTGTTAAGATCGTATCTGCTGCCGACTTTGGTGGACTTTGGAAATTGTGTGTAGAGATCCATTAGATCCAACATGACCTCGAGAACACAGCCTTTCCTAGCCGGATACCGGTCGGCATAGAACTGTGGGATATGATCTCCACCCATTCCCGTAAGGAGGACTGTTAGTTCAAGGATTGCCATCACAAGCGGAAAGCTGGGTTGCTTCAAGGGCGCAAACGTCTTGTAAAGATCGATTGACATGTCGTATGCATCGGTGATGAACTTCTTGACTTCGGGATTGTCCTTTTTCTCGCCCTTTGGGAACATCTTCCGAAGTAATTTGATCAGCAACTTCTGGGGATACTGAGCCTGGAAGTCGAAACCAATGGTCTCCAGAATATGACGCTCGAGGCCCACTGTGAATTTGGATGGACCATCGAACATCTGCTCGGTCAATATTAGCAGGTACACCATAGATCGCCAACGAGATAATTGACGAACCTTGTCATCCGGAGTCCTTTGATCGTGGGGCTGCCTGATATTGTGCGCAGCACATAGGACATCCTTGGACTTCTTGATCGTATCCTCCACCTTGCATGCAACAAACAACGACGCAAGAGCTACATCTTCGTAGTTGTACTCGGCGCTCGGAAACCGTATCCTGAATCTGTGGTAGTATGTCGCTGCTGTATCGAAAGTCTTGACCGGCCTGTGGCGCTCGTCAGCAAGATGCGTAGGTAAAGCTTGGAAGCGATGGGTTCGCACAGGCTTATGCTTTGTCGAACGCTATCAATGAGCTGGACGCCTTTGAGTCTGTATGCATCCTCTCTTGCCTCATCATAGCCAATGCTTTTGAGCATCTGCTGCAGCGTCTGTTCCGAGATGTAGCGTGGCGGGTTGGACGAAAGCCCTGGGGAAGGCCCTATCGGGACCACTTCATGGTCATTGACGCCGTTGCGTTTCGAGGCCGGCTCAGTTGGTATGCTCGGTGCCATTGGGGAAATTGGCAAATCACTTGGCTAGAATCGGTCGAGAGGAGTGGGCATAGAGCCCGTCGTCATGCGTTGGGAGCGCAGCCCTTGTCGGAAATCGGGAATCGTTCTGACGTCGCGAAATGTATGGGTTTAGAGATCGGCAGTCGAGGTTCGGCGCTTGAATTGTGGGATTCAACGGCAAGTGAAACTTTGCTGTCAGTGTAATCCCAGAAGGTCTCTCGAGGATCCGCCTTCGTTTCGAGGTTGGGGCGCAGATGGTGAAAGATGTCGAGCAGAATGAAAATGGGAACCGAGTTGCAAGTTTCGCGACGCCAATTGCGAGGGGTCGGTTGCTTGCAGCGCGCGCCGCTGTCCACAGCAGTGAGCACTGGTTGGAGCTGGTAACAATTTTGGGTGAACCGTGCATCCAAACGCCCGATAAGATACCTAAGTAACACTGGGCCGTGCCCGGGCGCTAATCCGGCCCCGCTCTGTGCCTCCAATTCCCCCTTGGGCCTCCACAATCCGACCTCTGTCGCGAATCCTTTTCCATTTCCATTCTCCAAATTCCCATCATTGCTGTTCCGGTTACTCTTCCCGCTGCACGATCCAGATATCACATCCAACCTCACAGCGCCCACCGGAATCGATAAGGAGTGTATTAAAGTTGGGGTAGAATGGTAGCACTGGGTCGTACCTCGCGGATCCCAATTTTATGCCATGCGTTGGTTCGGTTCGTATCCGGTGGAAGGGCTCACCGGTCGGATGTTAAGCCATTTTCGGACTCGGGATGTCAGGCCATTTTCGGACTCGGAGATTTGGTTGCCGCACGGTGATGCTGACGGTGTACCCGATGTTTACGGCGTGCCCGATGCAGTGTTTACAGCTGCCGGTATTGATAACTCGTGGAAAAGAGGCTAAAGCGACGAGTGTTCCATTGCTACGCACCAGTCGTTTAACCGACTGGGCGGTGTTTCAACAGGGCATTGAGGTAGTATCATGACCTGCCCGCTCAGGTCGATATGGGAACCATCACAGTAGATCGGTTTGAACCAAGCAGGAAATTACAGGACTCGCCGTGTGAAGTCATCACGGTCATCATCCGTCCGTATTTACTAGTTCTAAGAAATGGTTTAAGAAGGTGCTTCCGACCTCGTCTTCAGCATGATTTTTTCCAGCAAGTGCCACACCACTATCAACTCACAACCTATTCACTCTTTATCAAACCCGGTTCTCCAACATCGTCCACTCTCGTTACCATGGTCCGAATTTCCCTCCTGACGTACCTGGCCCTGGGCCTAGGAAGCACCACTGTACTCGCAGACTGTGGTCAAGCCCCGAGCAGCTCGCCGTCAGTTCAAATTCCCACGGGCGTTTTGACGCCAGTTACCGACTTCGGCGTAAACCCAACCGGCCTGGATCTCCATATCTACGTCCCCAAGGACCTCGCCCCCAAGCCCGCTGTCATCCTAGCCGTAAGACCCGCCCCTTGGCCCCCAACCTCGTGAAGATGTAGAATGCTAACCTTTGCAACAGCTCCACTTATGCGGCGGCACCGGCCCTATTTACTCCTACTTGTCTAACTACAACCCCCACGCCGACGAGCGCCGCTCCTTCGTGGTCCTCTACCCCTCCACCCCGCACGACAACAACTGCTGGGACGTGGCCTCCAAGAAATCCCTGACCCGCGACGCCGGCGGCGACACCACCTCGCTCGCCAACATGGTGCGCTGGGCCATCTCCGAGTTTGACGCCGACCCTGCCAAGGTCTTCGTCACCGGCTCCTCCTCCGGCTGCATGATGTCCAACGTCATGGCCGCCGCCTACCCCGACATCTTTTCAGCCGTGTCATGCTACTCGGGAATCCCCGCCGGCTGTCTGGCTGGTTCCCCGGGAGCCAGTCCGCAGAACTCGGACCCGACTTGTGGTCAGGGCAAGATGATCAAGTCCGGAGAGGAGTGGGCTGCCGTCCTCAAGAGCATTTACGGCAAACCCGAGGGATATACGGAAGGCTCGTATCCCAAGGTGCAGACGTGGCATGGTGAGGCGGATTTCTTTGTCAACTACCCGAACTTGGGTGAGCAGTTGAAGCAGTGGTCGACGGTATTGGATGTTCCCTTTAGCAAGACTCAGGCCAATGCGCCGGACACTGGGTATACCAAGATTGTGTATGGAGATGGAAGCAAGTTGGTTGGTTACTCGGCCAAGGGAGTGGGACATACGGTCCCGGTGCACCCTGAGGAGGATTTGAAGTGGTTTGGCTTGTAATGGAGGGGACGGGGGAGATTGAGAGGGGGCCGATGGGAGTTCTTGTGTGTGATAGTTGACGATATTGGATAACTGGTATAGAATGAATAGTTGTGAGCTGAAGAGTTTCTCACTACATCGTGAACGAAATGCTTGTATGGCACTCAGCGTAAAAGCAAAGGAAAAAGCTTATTAGACTTAACAGTCACCTCAAGACGTGCGGCGAAGCATTCTGCGAAGAGTCTTGACGGTGTGTGGTGTTGCATCGTATTCGTGATACTTGAATCCAGGCGTAAGCTGCGGGCTTTCCGTCGAGTTTCTGCTGCAATTTTGCTACATTGTAGCGAGAAGATTGTAGGACGAAGTTCCATGGCGGCGGCGACAATCTATTTTCAACCACATTTCACTCTACACAGTAGGTATACTTCTCCGTCCTTCCGACGTTGAACCCATGCATCAACTTGGTCAAACTCATGGTCAATTATGGGTATTTAATGTCCATTAAGCCTTCAGTAGTGTTTTTTCCCAATTGTCGTTACGTACTCATACGGTATTACGTCCCATTCCCTCTGTCGTCATGCGTGGTATCAAAATCCTAAACAGCGCGCTTATTTATATATGCATGCAGCAGTGCAGAATGGTATCCAGCTCCCTTAGGCCTTGTCAAACTTTTAAAAAAGCATGGCGAAGACGGCGGCAAGAGGACCAGCAACGCCAAAGGTGACGCCAAGGGCGGTGGCAGCGTTAGAGGTCTGGCTGGGGGTGGCGCTGGAAGAGGTGGCAGGGGTGCCTGAGGAAGTGGGCTTGACGGTGGTGGCAGTAGTGGTTGTGGAAACTGAGTGGGTTGGAGATTAGTTAGTTGCTTGACTACATGTATGTGGCAAGGCAGAAGGATAGGACATATTCTCACCTCCAGACTTGGTAACACTGAACGTCTGAGACTCAGCAAGCTGGCCGCTGTTGGTCTTCTCAGTGCCGAAGGCCTTGATGCTGTAGGTGGAGCCGGGGGTGGCGACGAAGTTGGTGAGCTTGTACTCGCCGTCCGATGTCTTGACCTTGTCCGCAATGGTCATGTCTACCTCGCCGCCGGTTTGGTGGTTGACGAGGACAAGCTGAAAGGTCTCGGGGTCGGAGTCGACGTGGTCCCACTTGATGGTGTTGGTCTGGGACAGATCCCACTTGGCGTTCTCCTCGGGCGCGGTGAGCTTGAGAGCTGTAGATATGGTGCGGTTAGCGAGTGTCTTGGGTGTGAAGCTTGATATCGATATTCTTACCAGCAGCGGTGGCCGCAAAGGCAGCAACGGTGGCAATCATGAACTTCATGTTGGCGGTTTAGGGTGGGTTGATTTCAGGTTGGTTATGAGGTATTGAATGAAGATTGGTATTAGGAAGATTAAATATGTGTTGAAAGACTGGGCAAGATGGGGGATCAAGGGCTGTTATTTACACAAAATCAAAATGGACATAAAAGCAACGGAGAAATCTGGTGGATGTCAGACCTTCATTTTAAACTTTCGGTCGAGGCAACAGCCCAATCGGTCAGCACTAGCTGAATTGGCCCATGTAGATTCCAACTTTCCAAGAAACGTCAGTTTTTACCGGCTGATCACCAACTGGGGGATCCTCATCAGTTCGCGAGGATCCTGGTCGTAATAATCCTTGGAGGACGGCGTCGTGGCTGAGTTTCTACGATTCGACACATGGAACAACAGCGCGCGTCTCGCTATTTGCTGGAGCTCCGGTGGGCGTGTTGTCCAGCTTGTCCGCGACTCCATCTGGGTTCCTTTTTCGATACTCCTTCGTGATCTTTTAGGCCATTCTCTGGACCCTCCTTTGGGTTTCCTCCATGGGGTAAGAGACAGCTTACGTGAAGCTGGGTCATCGCCATGCTGGAAAACAGGCAGTGAGCGTACCGGCGAGTTGGTACATCCAGGTACCAGTCATCCAGGGGCGAAGTCTGCCCGTTCATTCTTCTTTCTTTTCCCGGACCAGGTCCCCGGGCTCGCCCCAAAAAGGGATTCGGTTCCCTTCGTATTACAAGGGTCGTCAAAAGTCAAAAAGTCAAACCTGGAAACACCGGCAGGACGGCAGGTACGGCAGTGCAACTGCAACGTTCAGGGCTCCGCGCTGTGCTGGCAAACGTCCGTGGGCGACCTGGATGATGCTGATCGGTCGGGTGGGTTGCACTGCATTGGTGGCATTGGTGGGCCATGCAAAGCCCAATCTCCGTCAGCCCAGTGGGGTAAGATCTAATTTCAGCTCATCTCTAAGCCTTATCGCTTTCTTATCGGCGGCAGTATCCACATTTGTAAAGCATGGACATCCCTTTTCCCCCACTAGCGTCTTTTTACGTCACTATTTTCCAACGTCGGTCTGCTTCCTGAAATGCAATCATGCGAAAAGACGGCGAAGAATATGCCGTTGAACGTTCGATTCAGAACGACTAACCGCATACTATTGCCGAAAGAGAGGAATTGAACTCCGTGTTAAAACATCATTACGAGAACCACGTTGTTGTGTTACTTTAGAGGCCACCCAGCCTTGATGCCAATCCGCAGTATCACGTCGTTCGGGTGTGTCTTCTGGAAGTATACCTATATCGCGCATACTCATCCGTTTCTGATGCGTCGATATTCCCAGGTTGCCTTTGCGGATCGTGTATATGGGTGATTACCTGGTTTGGCCCTGAACTGCGCTATTGCGGAGTGCGGCGCTCGCAACAAACCCTCGGTAAGGGGGTGTGTTATACATTGATCTTCCGTTGGACTTCTGTCATCGGACATGTTCTCAAACACAACAACTGAGGTGAGCAAAAGACGCGATACAAACCGATGAACTATTACTTCGCAGATAATTGCCCATGACATCGCAATGCGTCATCTTGTATCTAGCTTCCGGCTACGCATCCGTGTCATGAAAGTTCAGTTGTTTGTCTGGGGAGCTCGGCATGATCTGACGGGTGACCACATTTCCCGAATTGACTAAAAGGGGAAATGGAAAAGCCAAGGCAGAGTCAACCCAGGCGGAACGAACTCATGAGAATGCGGGATCAATATATACCTTGTCCGCTAGTCAAGCTTACCGTCAAAGTTGACTTTGCTCCGGACAACTGAGTCACTGCAGTGCCCGTACCCGCCCTCCCGCTCCCGACTACCCCAAACACGAGCTTTATAAACTCATCGTCGAGAGGAAGGATCGAAAGGGGGGAAACACGTGGGGATCACAAACCACCAGGAAATTCCCGTCAAAGTGGACCAGATATAGAGGGAATTTTTCCATGTCAGGGTCCGACCGCTGGGTTTCAGATCAGTGGATGCGCGTTGTTGAAGTGGCTGATCGGCCAACTGTCTGCTCGTTTCCTCAAGTGGATTTTGGAAATGCTAAGTGTACACACTGTTGTACGGAAGATGGGATGCACGGCTGCGACGCAGATCCCCGCGATAGGAGGCCCTATCGCGATGCTGTATGATAACCTAAGTGGACATCTGCACGAGACGGATCGATCTTTACCTGGCAACCCCACGCCCGCATTCACCCGAACTGTTGGATGTGAATGTTAGTTCGAGAACGCCAACGGGATGACCCTGCGTTGACTTTGGTTGGGGACGGCAATCAAGCTCTGAAGCGGTGGGGTATTCATGCCTGAGGGCTCAAAACCACGATACTACACAGTCAGTCTTTTCCTCCCAATTGCTTAAACCTTCGTCGTCGTCGCACTAAGGTCCCATCCCACTTGGGTGCGCACCCGGCCAGCCAGCCCGCCAGTCAGTCTTTACCTTCACTCCGCTCTGCCATTGCGCGATTACATTCCTTAAGTTTTCCCGCGCTAGCCAACACCTTTTGATTTCTTCAACAAGTCTGGGCAACGCAAGTACCTGGAGTACGCCTTGTCGCCGACGTCCTTCGACAAGAGGACGAGGGAGAAGTCTCGAGTTGGTACTTCAGACTATCGACAAAGTCACAAGTACACTGTGATATCATACTACCGACTTCGAAGAACATCAAGCCAACAATATTTACAGTATCTTAAACCCCAACCCAGTTCTTCCCATCCGAAATTAGCGCCAAAATCCTTCCACGGGGAGCAACGACTGGTCGTGTCTCTTGATTCCTGTCTCAATTTATCCGCCAATAACTTCTCCGACCCTTGACTCCACCTCTTTCTACCAGCATTCTGCCAAGCTGTGTCCAAAACAAGCCGCCCAAGATGCCCCAGAAAATCGCTTTCGCGCAGGACGTTAAGCTTCGTCCCAGAGCTCGGTCCGAACCGCTCGCTGACCGTTCCCCGACCCCCTTCCCGGACGAGAGACCCAGCAGCGCTACAACCACGAGCTCGAACAAGATGTTTTCGTTGCGCAATGGCCGTGGCCGCAACCACTCGGGTGCCAGCGAAAGCAGTCGTGGTACTTCTCTCTTCACGTCGATATCCGGCCGTTCGTCATCGAAATCTTCTGGCCGCCTCAAGAGAGCTTGGGACAAGGTTCTTAGTCGCTTGGGTTCCGGTTCGAAAACTCCCTGAAGCTGGAACACTATACCGCGAGTGTTGTTCTTCGGTATGGAAAGGATCGGTATGCTAGTGCCGTCATGGAATAAGTCGCATAGGGATTCCAAGAGCAGGAGTCTGAACGGAAGGACAAGACTGGAACCTTTGGGCGGTGTATTGCTTGCATTCCTGCAGTAGAGCAAGTGGTTGCAACCCCTTTCCACCCAGAACGTACAGAACTCGGAGATGTTTCAAATCGTGGTCTAGACGAAGGTTCCGATACTGGATGGCTTAATGGTATCAATAACAGTTAATTATGATCACGGTTTGATCATATCATGGTCAAGAAGAGCCCGTAGGTCAGGCTCTTGTCCGAGACTGCACTGTTGCACGCAGTTTATGTGGTGTGACGTTGGGCCATGTATATACCACATGAGGTTGTCGTTGCTTTGGTTGCTGGGTTCTTTTGTCGTGGAAGAGATTTACGATCTAGATATCGCACATTGAGCCGCACGGAGACTGGACTTGAATATGGCGGAGCAATGTCCACCTCAGCATAGGTTATCTTGGTCTGAGTCAATGGTGGCATGCCAACGAAAAACTTGATTCCACTCTCTTTTCGCCTCAACAACTCTACTAACAAGGGGTTCTAGAAGCAGTATCAAGTATGCTTATTTTCCTTCAAGCAGTGCGGTATGGACCACTAGCGAATAGGAAGGAACTATGAAACTGCGATACCTTATCAGTCACAGTACAGTACTTGGTGTCCCTTACCAATTTGGCCAGTGGTCTTCGGGCGTTATCACCTACCTCTAGGTATGTCTTTCGGCAGCGCGACCGTAGAGGTAGGTACCTAGATTCGTGCAGTCCACGTGACGGGTGAAGCCACAAACACCCAGTCAACCAGAGATAGGCTGGCGATGTTCGACCTGGAATCTGCAACAGCCTGGGAGAACCATAAAACGCGATAGCAATCAGGAACGCTGTATCCATCATTTCTAACACCCCCGCAAGTTACCAGAAGGCTTTGCCGTACACTAGACAAGGTTGAGTGGTCCTGCGATCGACTCCGGCCGTGTTTCTATACACGCAGATCGATAACAGCGAGTGCACGAATAGCTCGGCAGTCTAGCGACCTACTGAACAACTTCCAGGTTGCACTCACAAAGCGATACCTTACGCATCCGCTTATCATGCCGAATCTTACACCTCAACAGCTCACCACACTCTTTGATACTCTCACTTCAATCGATGAACGACTCAACCGAATTGAAGCGGCCCTTCACCTTAACAGCAATGCCGCGCATAACAACGGAAACGGCGACCCAACTTCCACTGGCACATCGGCTGGTCCAGCTGCCTCCGTGCTAGCCCATCCCTCACTAAGCGCCGGCGCCGGCAGGAGAGTCACCAACGCCCAATCTCCCGCAGTCGCACAAGCGCGCTCACACCCGGCCCCACCAAGTGGAAGTCGCACATCCAACCTCACCATCCCCGCCGCCACCACCCAGTCCTCCGACCTCGTCCCCCTCGACCCGCCTCCACAAGGCTACACCATCTCCTCACGGGCCAGCATGCAAGACGAGCTCGACCAGTGGACCATCCCGCGGGGCTACAGCATGCGCATCGCCGGCGCCAAAGTCACCGGCAAGAAGAAGGTCCGATGGGTATGTTTCCGAGGCGGCGAGGCGCGACATCACCGGCCACCTGTGGACGAGTCCGTGATCCAGGCCGCCAAAGCCGAAGGCCGGCGCAAGCCCACCACCGATCGCACCTCCAAAAAGTGCGGGTGTCTGTTCAAATTCGAGGTGATTGAGACAGCCAAGGGGTCGGATCTGTGGACGCTACACTACCCAAATGAAGAGCACAAGACGCATAATCACGGCCCGTCAGATCAGACGAGCGATCCGAGGGCGAGGAGGTTGCCGACGGAGGTGAGCAGGGAGGTAGATCAGTGGTTGAGGCAGGGATGGTTGGTTAGTAAGGTGCAGGAAGAGCTGAGGGGGAGGGGGTTTAGGAACGTGTTGAATACAGATCTTTATAATCGAAAGAGGTTGTTGAAGAAGGAGAATGCGCAGGGGCAGGCGGGGGGTTGAAGAGGGGGGATGGTCGGTCGGCCTGGCTGATTGAGACGCTAATGTTGCTGCTTCGGGGTTCTGAACGTCTGGGTTACAGGGAATTTCATGGGAAAGGTAAATCGGGACACCTCATTAAACTTTCCATTCCAGTTTGAGGGCATGTTGGAGGTAATGTAGTCTCGCGAAGTTATGATCTGTTTTCCGAGTTCTGAAGACCAACTTTCTCATCTCGTCGTGCCATTCTCAAGTAGAAGAACTCATCGATAGAACCTGATATGTGGTTGTGAAACAACGTACCTGCACATACCTATTGTTGGATCATCTACCAATCAGCGATATCCTGCAGATGGAACCTTGCTCAAATCTTTTCAGGCTGCATTTTCGCATCGTTTTTCCACCACTTGCCAAAACAGTCTTTCTGTTCACGCAGTGCTCACCAACACAACACTGTAACCCAAACAAATGTCTCCAGGGGCAACCGCTACAGTCTCCACTGCCCCTTTTCTTGTAGCTCCATAACAACAAGACCCCACCATCAACATCCACGCAGGGACGAGGGTCCTCCACCAAACCTAGACGAGATTTACCACGAAGAACAACAACCTGGGCACAAAACAAAAACCACTCATCACCAGCCCCTCCACCACTCGCACTACCACCACCACAACAATGACCAGACTCCCCGTCTTAACCACCACCCCAGCCCGGCACCCAACCTCCTGCGCCTCCCTCTCTCTCCCACTCCTCTCCTTATTGAACTGCGTTCTCCCTTCTAACCCACCAAGCGCGTCAAACTCACAAACTCTCACCCTCTCCATCGGCTCCGGCCCCGGCCTTCTCGAAGCCCTTTTCCTCCACCATTACCCCTCCCGCTCTTCATCCTTCTACGGAGTCGAAGTAGCCCCTCCCCTTTCCCAACTAAAAGAGGGAAAAGAAGTGAATACCTGGTTACCCGAGCAGAACGCGATTACCGTCCCGGGAACTTGGGCGTTGGTGGGCAGGGAGTGGCTGGGGGAGACGAGGGGGCTGGTGTTTGTTTATCCTAGGAGTGGGGTGTTGGTGGGGAGGTACTTGGCTGAGATGGAGGGGATAGCAGCTGAACGGGGAAAGGGACTGGAAGTGGTAGTTTGGATTGGACCGTGGTGTGATGTGGAGGAGTATAGGGCGGTGTTGGAGGGATGGGGTGTGAGAGAGGACCTCATTGGGGAAGAAGAGGGGAGCGGGAAGTTGGTGGAGGAGGGGGAGGTAGTGTTGGTTTATAGGAGCAGGAGGAGGGAGTGAAGGAAGGCTGCCCGGGCATGCATGCATGACACGAGGATGATAAATTTGGGGGTCTACAAGTAAAGAGAGCGTTAGCTGTCTGTCTCTCTGTCTTGGTGCCAGACAGAGCATCAGCAAATGCAACTTGAAGAGGAAGAAAAGGGGGGAAAAGAGAGCAAAAAAAGAGCGGGTAATGGTCCGTAACGGACTCGAACCGTTATCTTCATGCGGCACGCATGCAGACGCGGATTTACCACGCCGGGAATATTACCATTACACCAACGGACCACACCACGGGAGAATGCTCAATTGAAAGAGATTGAATACCATAGATGGGGTTGAGACATGGGATGACGTGGGGTAGGCGGGAGGGTCAGGCCGGAGGCAGGAACGGCAGGCACACACGGAAGGTGTGGGTAAGAGCGGCGGGCAAAAGCCGCACGAAGAAGAGGGTAGAGGTAACGACTGGGTTGGGTTGTGCTGCTTGATGCCGGCCTAGAACCACAGGGGCATCCAGAGGTCTGTCCCAGATCGATGGTTACAAACCCAACCGACAATTTGAAAGAAACTCGCAACGCGTAGGGCAGTCTTCCTAAAGCCAGTCCTTGTCAGAGGTTTCGGAGTCCGAGTCGTCCAACAAAGTAGACTCATCATCGAAGTCCCTGCGGCCCAGCCCACTCTGTCTCCAACGAGAGGCCTTCTCCTCTTCCGTCCCTGTCCCATCATCACCATTACCATTACCATCATTTCCTGGGTCTTTCGGATTCTCACCCCCTTCATCTTTACCCTCACCTTCCCCCTCCTTATCCGCCTGCTCCTTCCTCAGCTCCTTAGTAGCATACGCGCCACCCGCAACCGCTGCGGCAGCCCCAACCCCTTGCCCAACAGCCGCAACAACAGGGACTCCATACCCTCCCATCGCCGCGCTTGTAGCGGTAGCAAACCAGCTACCAGCCACAACGTTACCTATCATGCCTTGAATTGCAGCCGCGAAAGACCCTACAAATAAAACCGATTAAACTTCATGTTCTGATATTCAGACGCAGTGAAACAAGCGTTCAAGTAGAGGAGAGATGGGATAGGACGTCGGCAAGATAGGAAACATATACGTACCTCCTACGATTCCACTGGAACCAAAACCCATGAAACTCAACACTGGCCCGGTGAGCAGTGCGGGGGCAGCGACAACTGTTAGTCCGCCGGCTGTGAGACCGAGAGCTGCGGCGGCTTTGGGGTTGTTTTTGATCCATTCTTTGGCCTGTGTAGCAGGGAAAAGCGTGCGGGTTCGTGGTCCCCGGGTCAGCTGCTATTTGACTACTCCAAGTTCAGGGGACTGGTACTGACCCATTTTATCTTTTCAAGCAAATCATCGTTCGGCTGAGGTTGACCATCTTGGGACTCATTGGTCGATGGTGTGTTAGGGTCCGCGGGGTCTTCTTTCGCGGGGGTCCCGGAGTCGTTCGTTGTCTCATCTTTTGGTGATGCCTCCTGGGAACCTTTGTCGTCAGGCGGTGGAATTTTGCGCTCGGTCATTTTGATCTCCGCTGGTCTAATAGGGCTTAGTTCTGATGATGCGGCAACTCGGACTGGTTGGGAATATTGTAACAAGGGTATGGTAAGTGTCAAGAGCTGTGCTGCGGGGTTGGGAAGGGGACACACCCTTATACTTGTGGTCATGGAGATTCCACGTCACATTCGGACCTTGTCCCAGCAAAGATCGCCTACGCAGTGATAGGTGTGACAGTGGCGTTGGGTGGTACAGGAGGTTTCTATAGGTCTGTGGACCTTGAAGTCTTGTTGCTCTTCAATGAGTGGAATGGTCGATCCGCGAGACCGGTCCAGGCCTGTTGATATGACAGCCGAGAACATTTCTTTGAGCAACCCAGGAAGAAGTTGGGAACTGATGTCTTGTCCGAGATATCACAGCTACAACCTATGTACCCCGCAGCAAGGCTAGCCCACATGTACAGGGGCTTGTACCTATGAGTTGGCTTGTGCAAGACGGCCTGCAGCAAGCGCCCACATGCATCTGGGAACGGATTGGATCTGTTTGATATCTGATTCGGTCCTTAATGTCGTCACGTTGCCCTGAGCTTATCCAGGCCTTCTGGCGGAAATGTTCCGTTTACGTCGAGGTTCCAGACACGACAGGATACTCTTCCAGCGAGGAAAACAAACTGCCTCTCAATTTAACAAATCACCTAGTCGAGCACCCTCCTCCCTGCCGTTTTGTTGGTGGCCACCTTCCATGCTATATGACTCTGAGCCCAGCTTGTCCAGCAATGGCAAGTGGGATAATAATTGCGGAGCCTGATCAAGATGGTCAGCCCTGCAACAGATGACTCTCGGGTGGGTGTGGAAGATAGAAGGGCATCTCACCTCCTTTAGCCGCCGTTACCATTTTCCAAACCCCAAAGGCTGTGCTTACGGCACCTGAAGGACCGGCGGCAACTATGGGAGAAAAAAACATTGCCGCGGCCCAGAAACCGATAGCGACACCAGTTGCGGCCAGCGCGAGCATAATCCCCACGTTTCCTGAATTCTAAAGAACGACGGGAGGTTTGGTTAGAAACAGAACGCCATTGGGGCTCAACGGCACATTCACGAGCGAGGCATTGCCTACACTTGTATGAGGAAAGGGCTATGAGTTTCACTTGTGGATCTTGGGTTTTCTGCACGAGGACAGCCCAATGAAAATCTCTCTCTTCACGTGTGTTGGAGTTCGTAGTATCCTCAGGCAAAGTTGAAGACTCTCGATTCCCCGTGCTCTTCAGAGACAAGCCATGGGAATGGACACCGATTATGTCGGGCCGCCCAGGGAGACGAGTATGTTTCGTCAAGCATTGGCACGGAACACCAGAATCCTTTCGCGTCATATCAATGTGAGAAGGAGGTAGGAAGTCGTCAGAATTGTCGCGAGGTGGCAGATGTATGTGAGCCACAAGATATTCTGGTCCACCGGGCGCTGAAAGCTTTCCCTTTGGACATGAACAATGGGTGTAGTATTCTTTGCGAGTCATACTGGCAATCCACGCAATAGTAGATGAAATTGGTAGCAAGAAGCTTGAACAGCACCACTCGAGACAAAGCTCAAGGAAAGCAGGGGAATAAGGTGCGAGAGATGGAAAACGAGAAGAGCACGGGGCACTGCTTTGAGGGGAAAATATGTTCTATGATGGACTCAGAAAACCTCAAACTTATGACCGAAGTATCATAGAGGCGCATTTCCTGCCGCCGTTGGATCAGCGCGTTTGCTGATGGATTTTCTGCAGGACAGCTGCATCTGTAAACTTCACGTTCCCTTCCAAATTTCCTTTTCGCCTCGTGCATCCAAGTATGTACCATCGCTACAGTGGTGCTCTGGTATTCATTCTACCTGAAACTACTTCTCCATCAGGTCTACTACTGTTCAAATTGAGTCTAATCTTACGAGTGCGAAATTTGTAAGCCCTTCCAACAACGGGTACTGTATCTGGATTCTTTTGCTAGGTGTAGGTCACAGAAGCTCATCTTGCCTCTATCAGCGTTCTTCCGAATGGCCGGTGTGCCGTTTGTGTTGGTTTTACGTAGGAGCCAATCTGCAAAGCTCCTCCAAAATCTTTGATCATACGCCAATCGGTTGGAGAATTTTAACGGAGTTGTACGAAGGACTCTTCATCAGAGGCCTCAGAATCATCCAACAATGCGGTCTCCTCATCGAAGTCCTTGCCGCGGTGTCCATCCTGGTTCGCACGAGGAATCTTCTCTACCTCTGACCCGTCTCCATCATCCTTCGGCCCCTTTGGGCTTGGGGGACCGGCTCCATCTGTATTTCCGTCGTCTTCACGTCCATTTCCATTCAGAATAGCTGTGATGAGCCCGGCCGCCGATGTACAAACTCCGGCCGACTGAACGGCAGTCGTGAGACCAGCGAGTCCGTATCCGCCCATTGCAGTGCTTGTGAGAGAGGCAAACCAGCTTCCAGCTGCGACGTTCCCAATAATTGCTTGTACTCCTGCTGCTAAAGAGCCTAAGCGTGGAGTTGTTAGTTGGTGGAAGAATCAATACACGCTCTGGGATCCTACCTCCTACAACGCCACCAGACCCAAATCCAAGTGGTACCAAAGCACCCGCAGCAGGTGCGGTGACTAGAGCAGGGGCAGCGACTACTGTCGCTCCTGCTAGACTCAGCCCTATGCCTGCAGCTTGAAGGCGATTTCTGCTAAGCCATTCTCTGATCTGCGATGGCGAGAATGTTTATCAGCTATTGCTTTTTTGATCACGGACATCATGGGAGTTGTGTAATGTGCAACTGACTCTCTCAAGCTTCTCTTCCCAGGAAAGATTATCCCAATCATCTTCATCCCAAGGCATCGCAGGCATTTTGATTTTGATGGAAGTAAACAGCTAACGAAGTTGAGGAATGGGATGACCTGAGATGGTTACAATAAACGTTGTTGCCAGGTCGTGGAAAGTCGGCAGGAAGGCGATGAAGAATAGAAAGACGTGAAAGTGCGGGTATTTGACCGTTCTGTGCACTGATCTTGCAGTCATCTCCTTCGTCCCAAGTTTGCCTGTGCGTGACGTTGCTGTAGGCCTCACTCTATACAGGTCATGGACGGGTGGCGATTTCCAATTTGCTTCCGACTGGTATATGCAAAACATTCACGACACTGGCCAAGTGGTGCAGGAGAAGATCCATCTTCATCGATATCAACATCATCGCGTTGACTACCAACGAAATTCCATTCCTTTCCTTTTTCGACAATTTTTTTTTTAATTTCCATTCAATTTGTTTGAAGTGACAAACAGTTCTACGTTGGGTTGGACAGATTCCCACGGAACTTGGACCATATCGGGGCTAACTGCATTTCGCGTTTGTCACCTTCGATAGGTACGTTTTGCTTGGAATTACCTTTGGATCACTTGCGTCCAAACACCATATCCCGCGATTATCCGCATTCTGCCACCTCTTCGGCTTTGAGTCGATTTCTAGGTACCACTACTTCCTCGACATCACTACCACTTCTCAAAGGTCTTGCAAAACAGGGGTCATCATACGTCGACAAGGTTTGGGCTTCTACTCATTGTTCATCAACTTCGAAGCAGCACCAGCAGCACCACCCGCCGCCATAGCTGCTCCAATAGCCTGACCGACAGCCGCAATAGCTGTGCCCTCAAGACCACCCATGGCTGCGCTCGTGAGGCCAGCAAAGGCACTTCCGGCCGCGACACTTCCGATGCCGGATTGGATTGCTGCTGCCATAGATCCTGGCCAGACGAATGGCAAGTGTCAGTACGTACCTGACTGAGAGAAAGAATCCGCTTTTTCATGAGGTTTTCTTACCTGCCGCGATTCCTGAAGCACCAAAGCCCAGGCCGCTCAAAATCGGGGTCATAAGCAAACCGGGTACCGCTAGGATAACGATACCCGTCACGCCGAGCACGATATACATCACGACGTCCGGGTGCTCTGAAACCCAGTCTTGAGCCTATCATGGAGATAACACCGTCAGTTGTTCACTCAATAAAAGGTAGGAAAAATGGAGAGAGGATATTGACCTTTTGGACTTGCTCCTTGATGCTCTCACCAAGGTCTCCGGCTGCCTCAAGTAGTTTGGGCAGGATGTTGGATGCCCAGTCTGACACTTTCAGGGCCATCTATTCAGATAGTAGCTCGTCAGCGGGGTGGTTTTCTCCAAGGCGAATAAGGAAGGAAGACCACATACCATAGGAAGCTCTCGTTCAGCATCCTGCGCTAGGCCAAGAGCTCTTTTCGCGTCTTCTGAGACCTCCTTGGTCAACTTGATAACGAGCTGTGAATGGGAAATGTGTCAGCATGCAGGCAAACACGAAAGAAAGACAGACAAGTGTATGTGTACCTGTTCGGCCTGCTTCAAGGCGTTTCCAACAACTTCAGAAAATGTGTGAGACATATTATTTCCCAACTCGTCGGCCGCTTTGCCAGCTTCATTTGCCTGTTTCTGCACGTTCTCTCCGAATTCGTTCATTCCCTTGCCCGCTTCTTCGAAACTCTTTCCAGCATTGGTGGCAAACTCATCGAAGCCTTTGCCGGCATCGTCCATTATCTTACCGAAATCCATCCTTTCGCTGCTGGAATGACTGACGATGGTGGGCTGGAGGTTCGAATTGAAGATTGGACAGATCGAGGGTAGCACTGGGAAGATCTATTGATCACCGCATTTATGGACGATTGGATTGTTTCGTCATGACAATTTGAATGAGGAAGTATGGCTCAGTCTCATGCTCGAAGTGGAGATGGCATAGTAGGCCTCGGTGCAGAAACGGCAGAAGGGACCCCTCAAATCCAGGCCTCTGGCAGCGAGCAAACGAAACCATGATGTGTTCAATGAAAACATTTGCACAAAGTTTACGGGTAATTGCACCTGCCAACGTCATAAGTTGCGACTGACTGCAAGAGGCCGTCCCCAATAACATTCTCTGGCCGATAACACTGGCAAAATCAAGTATGACAGACATGAAACTCGAAGCTTCTCAAAGAGCCAGTCCACCCAAAGATCGCAGACATTCAAAGATGACTCAAGTACAGATCTCACAGTCCTCCTATTTCAATCACAGGTACCTCACCATTGAACTTCTCTTCCATCCACTGGCGTATAAGATCTACAGCGCCAGCGGTCATAATCGTGGCCCCAGTTGCCCGTAGGGCAGCATCGAGAGCAACGGCCCCATAGCCTTCCGCACCAGCACTTTGGAGAAACGCAAAAACGCTCCCTGGACTGACGTTGCCGATGATAGAATGGACTGCTGCTGCAATTGAATCTGATGACATGGAATCAGTGTTAGCGTATCCTGTGAACTGTATAGAGTGTCTTCGAGCCGACAAAAGATCCACGCTCCAAGCCCAAAAACGGGGGTCTGCTTACCTGCAGCTACTCCTTCGGAAGTGAATCCCAGAGCATCCAACATGGGTTTATAGATCAACCCAGGATATGCAACCAAGATTATAAGGCCTGCAACTCCTAGTACGATGAAGACCGTGGCGGTAGGGTGTTCCGACGCCCACTTCTGAGCCTGCACGTTGCGAAAATAAAATAATCAGCTTTAGGCTCAACATTGACCAGTCCGCTATCACGCAGAAATTCGGTCTCCTACCTTCTCGAATTCGAGCCTGGCGCTCTCCGCGAGTTCTTTACTGGTCTCCACGAGGAAAGGGAGGATATTCGTTGCCCAGTCAAGGACAGTAATGGGGATCTGAAAGTAGAGGTAAGTAGAGTATTTGTCAGATAATATGAACAAATGTATAGAGGAATTTCTTCCAGATTGGCGGTTTGGGTAACCTTACCAGTTCAACGGCCTCGCCATCTTGACCCATAACCACCTGGGACTTATCCTGAAGCACGTTGGAAGTCAACTGAATCGAGACCTAGACAAAAGAAGGTGTTACTTAAAATAAGTTTCTGAGGCTTTATCGGTTTGTTAGAAGCCATCTCTCACATGCTCAGCATGCTTCTTTGCATTGTCGAGAATATCCGCAAGCGTGTCGGCAGCAATAGGAAGGTTTTGATTAACCCATTCTCCAGCATTTTCCGAGAACTGGCCAATTTGAACTCTGGTTAGCGAGTGTGACCGCAAAGTAATTAGCAACTTTGATTTCAGCAAATATCCTCACCTGCTCTGTGTGTTTCCGCGCATCCTCCACTACACTGCTCACGGCCGCTCCGGCCTGAGGGAGAAAGTTCTTTGCCCACTGCGATGCATCGGTCGAAATCTAGGAGGCATCAAAAGTCAGTCAAAAATAGGTCGAACAAGAAACTGAGCAAATCGAAAATACCTTTTCGGTGTTCTGGGCGAGTATATCGCCAAAGAAATCCCAGGGCGCCATCTTGCTGTCTTGACTGCAAATTGGTGATTGATGCTGGTGGTGAAGTGATCTTGACAAAAGATAAGAAGTCACAAAGAGCTGCGGGACGTTGTAGGCACCTATTAAGCATTGCAACTGTCCGGGACGGTACCCCAGCCCATGTTATCTGGTTGAAAACCGCAGGCCCTGCCCGACGAGGCCCGACGGAGCGGCCCTTGACTGGATCTTACTGTACCGGTGGGAGCGGGGATGAAGGATGAGCTGTCGGCGGCCCGCAGCTAGACGGCATTGACCATTGAAAGACAAGTATCACTTTCAAAAGTTTGGATTTGGGCTTGCTGCTTTTTACCTGCTGGTACTGTTGGCGGGGTTTTTGCATAACCACAGCTGATCATCCGCAAGAAAGCGCAGTTATGGCCGTGAACACCCGATGTAAATGGTTCAAATTAACATGAACATATCACGCATTACAAATTATTGGATGCGATCATCCAACAAGGACAAAGCGCGAGGAAACCGGTGAAGCCCATCATGATCCAGTCTTCCACTTCGACCAAGCGGCAAGCACAACACCAACATACACAGTCAAAAGTCCAGCAACCGTCAATACGTCGGCAATCACTTTTGCTCCATATCCGCCCATTCCGGCACTCTGTAAAATGGCAAAAATGCTTCCTGAGACTACGATCCGCAAAAGGGACTGAACCTTAGCTGCAATGGATCCTAAGAAAGAATGGGTAATGTGTCAGCGAGCTTGTAAACTCAGTACAATTGAGGGTATCGTGGCATATGGCACTGGTGATACTGGAATTGAGGATGCATTTACCTGCAACAATTCCAATCTTGCCGAACCCAAGTATCTTCAGCAAAGGGGAGACAACCAATTGAAGAAGTATTATAAGTGTACCGGCGAGGATGATGTAACCTTCTAATCCAAGTCCTTCTGGAAGCTCGGGTAGGAACATAGGTGGCTGATGAAGAAGCCGTGAATTAGCAAGGAAGAAGCTTGTTACGACAAGAACAGCAGATCAGTACCACACACCATTTTAGCTTCCGGCTCAAGAGAAAAAGATCGCCAGGCTAGAAGTGAAAAGTAGGTTGGCTTAAGTTTGTGGAAGTGAAGTTGACATTGAGTGTTAACAGGAAGTGGCTCATAGGCGATGACAGTGGGGAGACAAGGACGGAAGCTTGAAAGGCTTATATGTATCGGATGTCAAGATATACGATGGCTCAAGTACCTTCAAGAGGGAGCCGGATGATTAGACTCTGCCTTGCCTTTTTGATATGCAAAACCGCTGACAAAATAGGCGCCAACCAGAACCCACTAGGCCTATGCAGACGGCCAACAGCCATGTCATGGTGTGATGGTTCCCAACTGCACCCCCACATGATTGTGTGGGAGGCCGGGGCTGAACCGGCCACGTACCAGCCGTTTAAATCACAGTTTCGCCTTGAGGGGATGACGCTCTCCTGGACTCGGCCTCATGATACCCAAACCTGCACGAACGCAAGCAGCGGTACTACCCAGGACACCGGTATAAATCCAAGGAGCAAGAGTGAAAGCACCCACTCCACCCATGGTTTTGCTCTGGATGCATGCAAAAGTGCTTCCTTTTGCTATGTTTCCAATCCAGGATTGCACTGCACTTGCGATAGTATCTGGCAGCAGTGGATCTTGCGTTAGCACTTGTGGACAACAGTGTCATGTAAACAGCTGCAGACTTACTTTTTGATACACCTTTAGAAGTGAAACCGATGGCTTTCAGAATAGGCTTGTATAGAAGATGAGGGTAGGCGACCAATACAATCAGGACACCTGATACAACAAGTACGAGAAGTGTAGCCTCAAGAGGATGTTCGGCAGCCCATACTCGAGCCTTTTTGGGGGAACATGATAGATTAGAAACACACCGCGAAACTTAATTCATGGGAGAAGATTTGCTGCATACCTCCTCATACTGCTTCCTGATGTCCTCTGTAAGCACTCCAGCGGACTCAAGCCAGGGAAGAACCAGCGTAGACCAATCCTGGGGGGTAATTGGTACCTATTTGATGAAGTAGAGGTAATTAGCTGTGCAACGTACTGTGGTGGTGGCATGAGACTGATGTGTGTTCTGTGAAACTATCATACCGACTTCCCATCTGCTCCTTCTTTACCCACGCCTGGCTGATAGTCCGACAACTTTGGGATACCGGTACCGTGAAAGACTGAGGAGAACGTGACCTGGAATCACGATGTGTCAGTAAGCCAGTGTGTGTCCATGTAACTTGTACTCGGGAATTTGTGTGTGTCGCGTAAATGTACCTTGCTTGCATGCTTCTTAGCCTCTTCGATGATTCTCATAAGTATGACGGGGGAGATACGGAGCGTGTGAGAAACCCATTCTCCAGCATGGACCTTAACCGTCATGTTGTTGTTTAATCGATTTGGTAATGTGCAATCAAATCTCTTTACACATTTGAAGGTGAGTTGTCGCGGCTTCCGCAGATCAAAAGGGCCGTAGAGTGTAGTAGGTGTTGAAGCTTCTTTTGTTGTATGTGATGTGTTGAAGAGCGTGGTTGGTCACCCATATATATATTATGTACAATCCTTGCAGCCTGATTCGGTATGCTGTGAGGGGTAGGCACAACTAATGTAATTTGCTGGCGCTTGCAGGGCACGCCGACGACAACTGTCAGGCAGTGTAGATAACGCGAGAAGCCCGTTTCTGCAGATGCTACTTCCACTTTTGGGGGCCAACCACGGATTGGCGAAATCCGTTGACAGTCCATGAGAACCGAGGCGGCGACCGGGTAGCTCATTTGGAACTAAAGACAACGGAATGGGGATAAAATTGAAAGGGAGCCAACTGAAGGTAGAGAGGACCGAAATTCACACAAAGATAATAATAATGAGAAAAAAAATTTAAAAAATTTTTTTATTAAAAGAAAAAAAAGGACTGCCACTGTCTTGAAGTCAATAGCGGGGGAAATTGGTAGGGCCGAGCCAGCAATTGTAAATGGGAGTGCCTGCCAACCTTTACATAATTCCTCCTTCAGAATTCACTCAGCTATAACCATGCCGTGAACCCGACAAGGTTTTCAAGAGAAAGTGCAAACGCTGCGACTGTCAACCAGGTACCGATCGCGTCGTTTCCCATTTCTTTCCGGGTTGCCCCAGCGTCAGGACCCAAAGATGCCACAACTGAACGTGGCTGCGATACCTGAGCAGCGCCTGATTCTGCAGTCAGACCATCGGCAGCTTTACCGGTACTCAAGCCAGCAGCATCGAGGATGGGACCGATGAGCAACTTGGGAAGTGGTATACCAAAACCTTCGGCGACCACAGTCAGGCTAGCGGTGACTATTACACGTGTGATCCATCGTTCGGCTGGGGAGGCCTGAGTCAAACAGTATTAGTCTTTACTGTTGGGACGAGCTGCAGTGGAACCACTCATACCTGCTCATAATGCTGTTCCACGTTCTTTGTAACTTCCGCAGCGTTGTGAGCTAATCCGCTGGCAGCAGGAACGAAGTGGTGGGTACTCCAGTGGGCGACAACTCCGGAGATCTGAAAGGCTGTCAACAGATGGTACGGAATGGTATGACACAGAGCATTTCGTCATTGGCTTTCCTTTATAGAAAGGAACCTTACCTGCTCGGCATGGTCCTTGGTGTTCATGGCAAGGCCAACAACGGCGGGAGCCACCTGCTCAGCATGCTTCTGTGCCTCCATTGCCAGACCGACAGCACGAGGAGCAACCTCCTTTGCACCCCATTCCGCGACCTAACCCGAAGATTAGAGATGGGATGTCAGCACGGGTTCCACTTGAGACGAACCGTAGACAATGGAAGTGCAAAGCTTTCAAGCCTGACAACCTAATCTGTCAATCACTTACCTGTTCAGCATGCTTCTGCGCTTCCATCGCAAGGCCGACCGCACGAGGAGCCACCTCATTAGCTGCCCATTCCGCAGCCTGACCGCCAACCTGGAATTGCATCCATGGTTAGCGAATATGGTGAACGCCCATTTTTTCCTTCCATGTTCGTAGTTTTTGTCCACCAACCTGCTCGGCATGTTCTTTGGCGTTCATCACAAGACCAACCACAGCTGGGGCAACGGTGCTCGCGCCCCATTCCGCAATGTGACCCCAGAACGCCATCTCTTTGGTGTTTTCTGATGTTGGCAAAGGGTTCCGTCTCGCGTGAATTGGGATAGTAGGTAATCCGCGACCGTCAGTCCCCGTTCAGATGGATGAGGAGTAGAGAGTCCGGCGACAGTTGTTGTTTCCGTTTGCTTTCTCGGGTTTTGCTTCAGCTCTTGAAGAGGGGTGCCGCAGTACCGGGGGTCTGGAGCTGCGTGAGGCCCACAGAGTGAGAAGTGAATGGTACGGTGCTTTCGCTTGTCGACAAATCAGCGACTGAGCGGTATGTATCTGAATGCAAGGGGACATATACGGCTATCAGCCGAGACTGTGTCGATGTTTGTTCGAAGATGAGGAGGAGGGAATATGTCAGAAGTTGCAACTTCCTCTGGCTAGTACTTCAAAACACCGGTCATTGATTTGGAAATTGCTGGAAAATACCATCTCGATCAGCGGTAGAGAGTCACAAACCAGGAACAGGCCGTATATTCCTTCTACTTCCGTGATATACCCGGTACAAAGATGAATATAGGGCTGGGATTGCGATACCCTCAAGGTATTCAAGAGTAGATGCCATCGTTCTTCATCAAACCACCAAAGCGTTGATTATCCGATCCCTAAAAAAGCCATAGAATGGCACAAATGATTGGGAGGACGAAAATCGCAAATCCAAAGACCAATCCTGCCATTTTTGCCAAGATCGTGAAGAATCCTGCGCAGGTCGCTCCTAGACTTTGGAGAACTGCAAACCAGCTACCAGCGAGGACATTCCCAATCATGGAGTGAAACCAGGCCGCGATAGATCCTACAGTGAGTGGTGTGACGACGTTAAACCTTGGTTGATCCTCAAGACCCCGTATAAGAGGGTGTACGAACCGGCCCTGACACCAATTTGTGTCCATCCGAGGAGGGATAGAACACAGCCCATTCTAGTGACTCTATGAGGACTATATAAGGGAAAGAATTAGTCCATAGTTGAATACATCAGCAATTTGCGTACTCCGTGTAGGATCGCACACACCTTTCGGGTTTCGAGTATTTTGGATGGTTTGAAAGATAATTGGGGAGGCGGTGCGCGTGGAGAGAAAGTTGAGGGAGGTAGCTACTGGCATGAAGGCTGGAATTGCTTTCTTATGTTGGAATCATCTGCTGACCTTCAACTTCTCGTAGGCCTCATCCTATCATGGCTGTAGTACGCAAACGACGAAAGCCGTCGACGCAATGACTAACGTCATGATCCTTTCCGGAGCTAGATGCATGTTCCCGAGTGAAGCGAGAGTCTTTTCATGGGAACTGGCTCATGAGTGACAAAACAGATGGCGAGATAGAAACACTGAGGGTTTCCCAGGTATAGCGAACAGTACAGCTGCTTCAGAACTCAACTTCCCGGGAGAGGTACGCCTAGTCAAAGTGATAACGAGCAAGGGCTGACACAATGCGGACCAGAGAATGACAGAGACCGATTATGTTATGACATTCTTGAATCCGACCAACGCAACATATTTCCGAACTAGCATGGTAAGTATGGTCGACACTTGTCTGATGATGATGTTTTGTCTCCTCCTCAAATCTCGTCCCTTCCGCAACCCGACATCAGACACTCGGCACTGGAGATCCCAGTAAGGAGCAATCCGCCACCTTGAACAACTCCGTTGACAATTGCGGCACCATATCCGCCCATTGCAGCGCTCTGCGCAATAGCAAAGGGACTGCCAGCGACAACATTACCAATTACGCCCTGAGCTATGGCTGCAGCAGACCCTGCTTCATATCAGCACTTGATCTCCGACCACAACAGCATCAATGCTCTTCGTGTGTAGGTGACACTGACCAGCAACGGGCCCAGCAGCACCAAATCCCAATACAGCAAGAATGGGTGCAGTAACTATCGCGGGTGCAGCAACAGCGGCTAGCCCAGCAACGACAGGAATCAAAGGAATCTTGGGGGCATGGTTAGCACTGGCAGAAGCAGGGAAGGGAGTAAAAAGGCAGCAGTGTACCATCTTGAGAGGAGTTTTGTGCAGTGTTGAGTACGTTAAGCTTTTGGCTTTTTCTGAAATGAAGGCAGGATAGACTGGCGACTTTAGGATGAGTATCGGTGTTCGTCTTAACGCCTAGAAACTTGAGTCTTGCGTGGGAGTTTATAGAAAGTCAATTCTATGGCACCACTTGATGTCTTCTTACACAATTGTTGTACCTATGATGCAGCTAAAGTCAATCTTCGTTTTCACGAACAAAATCGTTTGCCTACAGACGAAAACATGAGAGGCCTGCCGAAACGTAGAGAAAGGTTGCTGCTTTCGCTGTTCGTAGCCAAACGCTGTACGCATGTTTAGGCCTGGGTATAAGTTCGTTGTCGATGTGTCGGCCGCGTGATGGCAACCTGGAAGAATGCCCGGTGTTTCGATTGGTGACGATGTTGGTACCTGCAGCGCAAACGCAAGACTCAACCGTCCTCTGCCGGCTCCTGTTCCCGGGAGTACCTACGTAACTGTGGTTGCGAGCCAAAGCAAAACCCCCTTGTCAAGTACAGAGCATGACCCACCACAGGCAAAGCTTCGTGGCTTTGTAGCACTGTGTAATCAGCGATCGCCAGCAACCTGGCCCACGGGTTTTGGTTACCCTGCTCACCGTATCGGATGTGTGCATAGTACAGTAGTAATGAGTCTCGGGTGTGTAGCCGCTCACGGGAAGTCAGCCAGGGGCAAGCAACGCTGGCACGGCCGGAAATGTGGTTGACACAGGTCTCGAATGTCGTTTATGGCTTCGAGTCAATAGAACACAAACACCTAAATCCGGACTCTGTGGTTCACTCTGTTGACGAAGAGAGGCGTGCTCGGTGTCTCACGTGATGCAGGAATGTTGATGCTTCTCGCTTGTGAAAATGCCAAGAAAATCGTTGACATCTGATTAAGGGTTTTCCGGGGTTGAGTTGGCAAGGCATGCGGAGTCGATGACACCCGGAGAGGCAGTCCGGAGCTCAGTCCTAGGGACATTCGTTTTGACTCCCGCCTTGGTAACCCCACCTGACCATCACCAAGGATCTCTTTCCTGGTTCAGCGCAAACAAAGAACAGCTTGGACTTGGTCCGGAAGTTGTGTAATGATGATTGCCCCTGAAGTAAGGAACGAATAGAGGGGGGCCATTTATTCTCGGATGGGGACCAAAGAACAATTATAAGTCTTGTTCAGACGCCCTTTCATCCTTTGGACTCGCCATCCAACCCTCATTAACCATCCGGTTCCTATCTCAGAATCCCACGTCCCAGACACATCCTTAACAATCGATCCGATAACGCGGCACTGTCCACAAGTTTTTTCAACTTGAACAAACCATGAATCTGGACAGCTACTCACGACTCATTTCCTCAGACCAAGACGAAGACGTCAAGGCAGAGGGTAGGGCTTGCACAACGCTATTGTCGCTCTTGATGCTTGTTGGGATCCTTACGTTGGGCGCAACGATGTGGCACGGGAACAGTTAAAGAACTGAAACCTGCGTGACTTCGGTAGGTACTCAATCCGCGAACACTGTCAATTCATGCGATATCAGTCGTCCTAACGAGTGCAAGATCCAGATTCGATGACCAGCGACAGCGACAGCGGACAGGACTGGATGGCCGATCGGTGGGTGACGTCGAAGGAGAGCTCTCTGGTCATAAGTTGAAGGACGGCCGAGGCATGCGATGACAGAATCATACGTTGGATTTCGAATGATGGACAAGTTGATACCCAAATTTGTTGGATGGTCGAGGACAATCGTCGATTGCTGGATGACGATGGCGTTTTTGGAGTTTCGAGGTTGAACAGCCCTGCGCCGACAGCGTCAGTGGACTTTGGCTTTTGACGGAGTTTTTAGCGGGCTCCATTTGCTGCATGCCAGGGCACCAATGCGGGGAAGTGGAGTGGATTATAGCACAGGACAACTTGGCGTTTGAGGTGGGGCACCTTGACATTAGCATGTGCAGACCGCCTTTGGCAGAATCAAAAACGCTCCACTAAAATTTTCTCGGACTTTGCGTGCTGTGCACATGTCGGGTCGACTCTCGAGTTTCCTTGCTGCCGTCGAATCCTCGATTTTGGATTGCATCAATTACCATCTCCACATCCACCATGCCCAAAGACAACAAGCCTAAAAAGCGCGATGGCGCTCCTGCGATTACCGATGCTCGCTTCGCCAACTTCGAGACCGACCCGCGATTCCAGCTGCCCTCAAAAAAGAACCTGAAGACCAAGCTCGACAAGCGTTTCTCCAAGGTCCTCAAAGATGCAGAGTTCACCGCCGTCGCAAAGGTCGACAGGTACGGCCGCAAGCTAAAGACCGACACCAAGAAGAAGGCTTTGGAACGGCTGTACGAGGATGAGAGCGAGGACGACACAGACAAGGAGGACAAAGAGAAGCCCAACAAGGGAAAGAAGGACGAAGTGGAAGACGAGAGCGACTTCGAGGTCGAGGACGACGACATTGTTCAGCGCGAACTCGAGGCTGCCAACTCATACGACCCTGCCCGTGGTGGCGGTTTCTCCTCATCCGATGACGACTCCGACTCCGACTCCTCAGATTCCGAAGACGAAAAGCCAGAGGTTGAAGACGAGGCTGATGCGGAAACACGACCCGGTATCCGCTTGCGCAAGGATAAAGAGGCTGTGGAGGAAGGCGAGATTACAAACAGAGTTGCCATCGTCAACATTGATTGGGACCATATCAAGTCGATCGATCTATTCGCCCTCTTCTCGAGCTTCGTGCCCCCGGGTGGTCGCATCGAGAAGGTATCTGTCTACCCTAGCGAGTTCGGCAAGCAGAGGATGCAAAGAGAAGAGCTGGAGGGTCCTCCTCAGGAGATCTTTAAGAAGAAAAGTGACTCCGATTCCGACAGTGACTCTGAGGACTCTGATTCGGATGAGGCCATCAAGAAGGAGCTTCTTGAGGAAGGAGACGACCAAGACTTTGACAGTGACGCCCTCCGCACTTATCAGCTCGACAGGTTACGTTACTACTACGCCGTAATGGTTTGCTCCGACAAGAACACAGCATACAAGATCTACGAGGCGACGGATGGCAACGAGTATCTTTCCTCTTCCAACTTCCTCGACTTGCGATTTGTCCCCGACGATGTCACGTTCGACGACGAACCCAGAGACGAGTGCGACAGCGTCCCCGCGGGGTACAAGCCGGTGGAGTTCGTGACCGATGCTCTCCAGCATTCCAAGGTCAAACTCACCTGGGATACAAACCCCGAAGATTACTCAAGGAAAGAGGCTCTCAAGAAGGCCTTCAGCGGTAGCCGCAACGATATCGCCGAGAACGACTTGCGCGCTTACCTTGCGAGCGACAGCTCAGACGACGAGGAGGACGAGGAGGAGAAGGAGCAATTTGAAGCCGAGGGGGCCGATGTCGAGGAAGCAGAAGAGGAGAAGACATTGTCAAAGAAGGAGCTCGCCAGGCGCAAGATGCGCGCTGCTCTTGGTCTTGCTGACGAGCCCGTAGTCAAGTCCAAGAAGGATACTCCGGTGGGCGAGATGCAAATCACCTTCACGCCAGCACTATCCGCCAACGACAAGAAGAAGGGTGACGAAGATAGGGAGGAGACGACCATCGAGAAGTACAAGCGCAAGGAGCGCGAGAGAAAGGAGAGGAAGAGACAGGAGATGCTTGCTAGGAGGGAAGGTCGCGATCCCAACGCCGCTCCTCAGCAGGAGGAAGAGCAAGGCGACCAAGGCGAAGATCTCGGTTTCGACGATCCATTCTTCACTGCTGAGCCTGTGGTACCTTCCAAGACGGCGATTCGCAAAGAGGAGAGGCTCAAGAAGAAGGCTGAGAGGGAAGCTGAGGAGGCTGCCAACGCCGCAGAGAAGGCACAGCTGGAGCTACTCATGGCTGATGAAAACGGTGACAGTGGCCGTCTCGATCACTTCGACATGAAGCAGATCGCCAAGGTCGAGAAGGTCAAGGGCAAGAAGAAGGGCAAGAAGGGCAAGAAGGGCGTGGAGGGCAACGATGGTCTTCAGGAAGAGTTCGCCATGGACGTCGAGGATCCCCGTTTCAAGGCCGTCTTCGAGAGCCACGAGTTTGCTATTGATCCTTCCAATCCCAAGTTCAAGGCTACTCAGGGTATGAAGAAGCTCCTTGAAGAGGGCAGGAAGAAGCGCAAGGATGGACCTAGTGTCACGGAGAAGAGCGAGAGGAGTGAGAAGAACGCCAAGAAGGTCAAGACTGACGATGCAGATATCGATGGTCTGATCAACTCTGTCAAGAGGAAGGCGAAGGCGAAGGCGAAGAAATGATTTCATCACGGGTAGCGGCATATTAATGGCAAGTTTTTGATTTCTGTTGGTTCACATCTACCTGTTGTTCCCTAACTGCCCAGTCTTGTAAATGGTCCTTGGGTCAATGTGGTTTGAATTTAGGTCATGTAGGGTTGCTCCCTTTGTGTATGATGGCCGTACCCTTTTGTGAATGAGGACAGAATCACGTACGGCCACCTCGCAACTCGTTTCCACTTCACAATGGCGGCCATAATATGTGTTACTGGAGGTCCATCAGTTCCTCATGGTCATGTGAGTTGGAGCTCTTGTTGTCGAGTTGTTTGCTTTTACCTTTCTCACTCTGTCGCCCCGAGAAAATAAGCTCGTGTGTCTGGCAAGACCCTTTGAAGGACACTGGGCATCTGTCATTCTTCCCTCGACAGTTTGTGTTCGTCTTTTCCATAGCTACCCCTTTTCTTTGTCCTTCAAGGTTTGCGAGCGATTCTCAACCTCCGGCCAGTCATCAAGGTTCCTCCGTCAGATCCACAACCGGAACATCTTCCCCTCCCATCTCCACCGGTAGCCACTCTTCCACATCATCCCTCGTTCTCTTCTTGCCAGTAGACCCCTTTTGCTGGATCACAGTAGCCACACTCTTTTTTTCGACATGCTCGGTCTTGACGACTTTCATTGCCTTGGAAGAAGCCAGTTTACGTTCGCTCTTTCCCTCACTTCCATCATCCTGTGTCTCTTCGATCTTTTGGTCCACTGTGGCTCCATTGTTGCAGTCAGCGTCAGGCATGTCGATATCCTCCGTCGTAATTGTCGTGCTCTTGTTCTTTGGCGTCTGTTTCTTCTTCTCGCTGGTGCTGATACCGCTTTCGTCTCGCTGCCTGCTGTGTCTAGCATCCACCACGGACTCCTCTCCTTTGCCATTGGATACCCTGTCGCCAACAACAAGTTGACCCAACTTCTCCAGATCCTCAACAACGATATCCGCCTGTCGCTTACCCGCCGTCTTGTCTTCGCACCTAGTAATCCAGCAAGCCGTTGCTCCAATAGCCCTTGCCAGGCCAAGGTATTGCTTTGAGCAGCAGGCAAAGAGAACTTCGTCTTTTCTCATCGCCGGGGAATCGGCCGCCACTGTACCTATTTTCGCGTCCGTTTCCTTGCTGGCATCACCTTTACCGCCGCCCAAATTTGCCTCCTGGGCGATCTGAGGCGTGATAAATCCAGGCAAAATGTCACCTTTCCAAACCCTCGCAACCGCCTCCCCCTCAATACCAGAAGCATAAATCCCACCCACCACCACCACCGCTGTCGCTCCACCTACTACTGCCTGTCTTCCTTGACCCTGATACCCCCTAGCCCCTTTGCCAGCAGCCGTGACACCCATGCGTCTCATCAGTTCTTGGATGATCTTTACGCCCGGTGCCGGCGTTGCAGGCTGCTGCTGCTTCTTCTTCTTTTTGCTCTTCCCATCTTTGTCTCCGTCTGTGCTTGAGGTCTGCTCAGGTGAAGAAGAAGATTCAAAGCCATCCTGCGCGATGAGAATAACCACGTTAACGTCCTGCTGTTTCATCTGCTTGGCGAAGGGCTCTAGGTCCGGGTAAATGTCAAATTCGGAAAGGAATTCGTGGATATAGTGGAGGTAGGCCTGTGTCCAGAGAGCGATTGCGTGCTGGTAGTCGTATTGTTGTTCCTCTTGGGTAGGCGTGCTCGGGTCTGTGGCTTTGGCTTTGCCTTTACCTTTGGAGCTTGATTTGGTACCTGTGTCTGAGTTGGCTGCTTCTGCTGCAGCTGAAAAGAAGTCCGGCTTGCCGGAAGTCTTGAAAGCACCAAGCTGACCAAGGGCTTCCCCAAGCGTAGCATTATGAGCAAAAGCGTTGAGAATTGCGGTCTCACTTGGTTGTGAGGCGTTTGGGCCGAGAATGGCGGCGAAACAGTTCTGAATTGTGCGAATGATGATGCGGCGGCCATCAATGACGGTGTCATGGTGGAGGATGATGATTTTTGGCTTGGAGATTGTGGTGCCCTGGGTGTCTGTGGAAAGTGAGTCGGGAATGACGGGTGTGGTGGGCTGTCTCGACTTGATAATGACAGACAAGTGAGCGGTAGGACTTGGCGTGGCCTGTGGGCTGCTCAGCGGGGTGGTTGCTGAGGCGGTGCTGGGTGATGTGCTATCTGTATCTTTGCTTGGTGTGGCGAGAGGAGATGACGATGATATGGATGGGCAGGTGGTCGGTTCCGCTGTATCGGACAAGGTGCGTTTGGGATGTGGCTTCGACGTGGTTGAGGGAGGGTTGGTTGCTGTGGTCGATGGCGTCAGGCTGTCGGTGATGGTATCAATGGAGGAGGCCTCCTTACTAAGAGGTGAGTCCATTTTGAGAATATCTGAATGGTGAATATTTTCCCGAAGGTCTTAGCGGTCAGTTCTCGTTACCATATGTGCGCAATAAGAGGTGACCTGCGTGAGATCTGAAGATGGTATGAATGTCTGTGAAATAAATGCCTAGAAGAGATGCGTTGAAAGGAAGATAATAAAGGGCGCGGTGAGGCGTGATGAAGGCCTTCACTTTCTCGTGGCCGAGTCAAGTTTATTTGAAGGTGAAAGAGGTTGAAAGTTCAAAGAAACGTCCTTTTGGATGTGGCCGCATTCTGTACTGGAAGATCACGGTGAATTACTCGTGCAGGATACGGAAATGAGACGAGAACGTGGACATCCTGGATCCGTTCTTTCCCATGCCTCATGCATGCAAGAAAAAGACGCGATGACACAAGTTTGGCAGAGGTTTGCTCGAATACAAACGGCGGGCAAATCATCTGGTGTCACTCTTCGGACATTTTTTTTCTTCCGCGCCATCGCTATTTCTCTCCATCCATGTGCCCTGCTCCCCGGAGCATACGTGCGGGTGGAGAGAAAGAGATTCCATCAGTCAAAAGTAATAATCATGCCGTTGGAAAACCTGCGACTCGGCCTAGCGAGGTTACACTATGTTAGCATGGATGATGATGGGGGATTCGATCGCGGACACTCCACGATAACGTATCGAGTGTACGTTTTCAGCTCAATTTTGAGTGGCTATAGCATTCACCAATGGCTCTTAAAGCTTGAGAATGCGTTTGAGAGACACACATTCGCTATTATCGCGGTATAGAGTGGCGTGAACAAGAGGCCACGATTGAATGCAAGAAAGGCCAGAGGGTGCTTGCAAGTTGCGACAAGGAGTTTCAATCCTGCTCGTGAAACTAGGTATAAAAGATAGATGCAAAAACATGACTTCCCCAATAAGCAAGTCATGGTAACATGGCATTCACTTGGGTAGACAAATAAAGATAGATGCAAATGGTTTCAAGACATAATAGGAGGAGGTTTTGATATCGCAGACCCTAACCCTGATGGTGATCAATGAAAAGACAGCTGGGTCCACAAACGCTTCCACTTTCTGTCGTCATTCTTACCGGGTTCGGAGGGCTTTAAATTGTCTTGTTTACCAGCTTGACATTTCTCTGAAAGACTCAAATCTACATTTCTTATCTTGCACATTTTCAGCATTCTCGGTATCAATTTAGCCAGATCTTCATTTTCGGTCCTGATCTTGACGCCCATCTTGCCAATTACCCCACCATGACAACCTCCCACAGCCTCAAAGCAGCTGCACCACCAGCAGCTCCCCTCACCGCGGCCCTCACCACCCACCTTGCCTCCCTCCTCCCTTCCTCCTCCAGGGACAGCCTGCGCACCTCTGTCCTCCCCTCGCTCCTCACCTCCATCGCCGCCACCTCCACTGCCCTCCGCGCCGCCCAAGACGTCTCCCTCGCCGGCTCCTCTAACTCCTTTGGCGACGACCAACTCAACGTCGACGTGCTCGCCGAAGAAGCCATCCGGCTCTGTCTCGCTCAATGTCCTTCCGTCGTCACCGCCTCCAGCGAAGAGGACCCTATCGAGAAACCGGTGCAGCACACCGGCCTTCCCTTTCAGGTTGTCGAGGCTGAGCAGGATCGCACCCACGGCGAGGTCTACACGGTCGCGTTTGACCCACTTGATGGGTCCTCTATCATTGCGCCGAACTGGACTGTCGGAACGATTTTCTCACTGTGGGATGGCACGTCAGCGCTGAATGCTAGTCCGAGGGAAAAACAGGTCGGGGCGGTGTTGGGTGTTTATGGACCGAGAACCACGGCGGTTGTTGCGTTGAGGTTCCCAGGGGAGGAGAAGGGCGTTTGTTTCGAGGTTGGGTTGTCGGAATCAAGCGAGGCAGGGAAAGGGCAAGAATGGGATCTTATCCGCCCCTCTGTCTCTTACGCGCCGCCCCCTTTCAAAACGCGGTACTTCGCCCCTGCGAACTTGCGCTCGACCAACACGCACGCGGCTTATGCCAAGCTGGTGGCGCATTACATGGCGGAGAACTACACGCTGAGGTACTGCGGCGGGCTCGTGCCCGATGTTGTGCACGCACTGGTTAAGGGGCATGGAGTGTATCTGAGCCCAGTGACGGAGACGAGCAAGGCTAAGTTGAGGAGTCTGTATGAGCTGTTCCCGCTGGCGCTGGTGGTGGAGTGCTGCGGTGGGCGGGCGGTAGATCCGGTGAGCGGGGAGAATATCTTGGGGGATAAGGGAGTGGAGGGGTGTGATGAGCGTGGTGGTATTGTGTGCGGAACAGCGGAGGAAGTTGAATATGCTAAGGAGGTACTGTGCGGTTAAGCATGAGCAGGGGGGGTTGAATGGATTTCATGGCCAAGGGACCAAGAGATGCATGCCGATGTCACAACGTCAAGTTGGTCACGAGATTATAGAGGCTCATCGTTCGCTTCTTTCGAGATGATGGTATAGATTATAGATTTCAAGAGTTTAGACAATAGAGGACTAGAAAGACATCTTTACGTTACGCAAACTGAGAGGCAGACAAGACACGGATATAGGTTTTCAAGAGTCTACCAACCGGCAAACCTACACGCTCAATGCTTTATTCAAAAGAAAAAAGATATAAACGAAAAGGGAGAGAGGACTGAACGTGCGAAAGCAAGACAAAGTACGGTAAAAAGGAAAAGAAAAAGTGTGGGCGGTACCGGATGCGGGCTGGTAACTTCTATTCTGAAAAAATAACATACAACACCAGGGATTCGCTGGTCGTCACCGACCCAACTACTAGTCTGGCCCTCACTGGCTTATCTATGGGAGAGCGGACGGGATCCCGAGTTTTCCAGTGGGTATGGTCGTATGTGCTCTCTGTATATTGAGCTTGGCCCTATAAAGGAATGTTTTGAAGGAGATGGGGGCTTGGGAAGCAGAAGTGGTAGTGAACTATCGCGAAGTCGTTTAGAAGCCACAGATCTCAACACGACAGGCGATCAGCCAAGTAGTGTTCACCATTACACCAACCGACAACGGGAAGGTGCGGAATTATGTGAGTCTCATGTACCTACCCTAGCCCCTGGGTCGGTAAGAGTTGGTATGAAATGCTTAGTCAATAGCAATAACGTTTTGCATAAATCTTCGCCCTATTGGCGGTTCTCGAACTGAAGGGTATAATATTCTAAAGAGTGTGTCCAAACCCATCCCTGCCCATCCTCGTAAAACTCGTGAAACCATCAAGTGTGGGATGCCACAACCGGTTCATCCCATCACATACAGGTGTGAAGAAAAACTCAGTGTCGACGTAGCTTGGCCAATGCTAGGTCACACTCTCAACCTTCGCCTCGTGACTCGTCCCCTAACATGATTCCAACCCTGTCTGAGCGCGTGTTGAACGGCACAAGTCCAGCGGCACACCCCATGTTCATTTTCCCCTTCCAACATCCCCGACTCAAGCGGGGTCTATGCCTTCAATCCATCTACCTTGCGAGTGGAAATCCACCCAAATCCCCTCCATCACATCCCCCAAACTTAGTTGGCGAAAATAGCCCAGTCCACGCTAGTAGGCTGGTCACCATTGCAGTTCATGTGTCCCTCAGCACCCACCCGCCTGCTGCTCTGGAACTTGTTGATCGAGTCTCTGGTAAGATCAGAAATGTCTCTGCTCCCGACATGGACAGGATAGATGCTGCTGCTCTTGACACCAAACACACAGGTGTTCGTAATGACCAGACGGCAATAGCCACTGTTGAACGCCCGGTCGGACCAGTACGCGACATAGCGGCCCTGGTGCCCCGCATAGTAGTCGCGAATGGAGGCGCAGTCGGAGACGAGGGGCGAGTTACCCGACGTCTTTCTGATGTAGGACGAGGCGCCACAGGAGTCGGCGTACTGAACGCCGTCGTTCCAGTCAAGACGCTTGGTGAGGGTGCCGGGGTTGAGGGACTGCCCGGAGGCGTCCATGTCGATGGAGCACTTGAGGGCAGGGTGAACGAGAACGGTGACGTTCCGTCCGTCGCTATTGGTGAAAGTGTCCGCGACGTAGGCCTCGGATTCGACGATGTAGGTGTAGCCGTCAGGGCTCACGGCTGTCTTCACGGCAGAAGGCGTGAGGGGAGCGGCGGCGGCAAAGGCGCAGAGAGAGAGGAGGGCTGTGGAGAAGAGCATTTTGAGAAGAGGCTTTTGGGGATTTCGGGTGTGATATGGTCGCAAAAGGCTGCTGGAGATGTCTTTAGGGTCTGGCTTTGGTGGTGAGAGGCTGGATGAAGGAAGAAGCTGATGATGATGATGTTGATGAGAATATCGCCGTATCCTCAAGGAGCGTTGTCGTACTTAGAGATTTTTCCTGGTGATGCAGACAACGCCAAGTGAATCTTCGATTCTGACTCTTTCCCTTCATCATCATCATTTCCTTCCGTCATCGGAGCCACGCCAACAACGCCGAACTGTTGAGGACTCGTGAGGGGGCTTTGAGAAGTGCCAACATCGCGTATGCACGATCAAGTGATTGTGATAACGTTGCCAGGACCACACGTTCGCCGACTGACCCCATCCTCCACGCAAACAGGACGGCGATGGTGAAGTTTTTCGAGAGTTGAAGTCGGGAGGAGCCAAGAATTCTGCAGACAGAGGTCAGAACGCAACGGAATGTAGCAGTAGAAGTTGATAGTTTCTCAGCCACATCAAGCATGGAAAGGCCAAAACTCTCACGAACTCCGCTATCGAGTTCTTATTACTGATTGTTGGGTGTTTCGGAGTTACTGGAGAGTAGTACTCCATGATCAGAGTAGTATCCACTGGGTGTAAAGCGTTGCGATGAGGCTCGGTACCGGTGCTGTAGGTTGCCAGGTTGATGAGGATGTCCGTCAACGGCAATGATAGGCACAAGGCGCGGCCCGAACCAGTATCGGCCGGGGTGAGATCGTCACTGGTCTAAACCGAGACCCTGAGTCGATACCTAGTGTATACGCATTCGTAAGGGCCTTTCAACATGTGTTTTCGCAAACTGGAGGCATCAGCTGAGTGTATCTCGGAGTATACACAGAGGTGAGCTGATATCCAACAAACACATGTACGGTGGAAAATATCGATGGGAAAGATCAACGACGGCGAGCATCTCTCTGTGGAATAGTATTGACACTGCTTGACGTACGGCATGTCGCTTCAGGAACACCAATAAGACCCTTGATCCTCCTCCTTCACGTAGTGTAGACAACATATCCAGCACGCCGTAAAAAGGGCCTAAAGGATCAGTACCGGCGAGTTTATCTCATAACAGCAAAATGGGTATGTGCCAGTGATGATGTGGTGGTCGGTGTGATCGAGACGCAGTCATCTGGCAACTCCGTAACAAGAGCCACGCCAAAGATGCTTCTAGTATCGGTATGATTTTGTTCCCAACGTTAATGGTAAAACAAACGAGAAAAGACCGCATCACGCTCGTGATTTGTTTGCGTGATCATGTTGCTGATGCCACTCATTAGTAAAATGTAAGCCGGAGACGTTGGTCGTTGCTGCCCGTAACGTGTGGAATCCGAGGCGGCGCGGTGGAGCCAGAACAACGTTGAAGTTTCTGCCGAAAAGTGACCTTGCTGCTGTTGGGATAATCGTATCTCGAGACAACGACATGGTGTTGAACAAAAAGTTCGTGATAAGTGGAGGTTCATGAAGATTGCCAAGCCAATGGCATCACCCCGTCGGCTCCCGTCCCCACAACCCGAATGGATGGGAAGGGTTCATTCCTTCCATCCGGATGGCAGACCGACCCCGCAGATTGAATCCATGTTGGAGAACTTGAACTTCACGTAGTGTATGTACGTACTGCTGTAGCCCCGATAGCAGCGGAGGACGGGAGGCTCTGAAGGTCAGCAGCGAACAGCGCCTTCTGTCAGCGCGCTATGTACCCGGGCCGTGCCAGTGCCACGCCTTCCCCTGAACAGGGACTCGATTGTTGACGATTCTAAAAAATAGTGGGGGCGAGGCACGGGTCGGTACCTAACGGTCGTTAAATGGTCCACACTACAATTGGACAACAAGATCCCGATGAAAATCCGTTCTCTCCGACCATGCTGCCCCTGCCCCTGTCCAGAATTCCAACTTCTTGGAGTATCACCAACACTCTTACTATTTCGACTTTATCGATTACACATACACCAACTTTGTCTTGTATCGTTGTGACCCAAAGACAACTAAGAAATCTGTGGCGCATCCACGACTCTGATTGCCCATGATCTGAATCTGACTTCAGCATGACCAATAAAAACTCAACCTGACACTTCCCTTGTAGAGTATTTGCCCCCTTCATTGGCCTTCCAGAATCACAAGCCTCAGAGATGCCGTCCCCACAAGGCCGAACCCCGTGAATGCCTTGTCGTCCGATTCGATGGCTGCTGGAGTCCTGAACCAATTCTGCCGTTTGTTCCGATTCCGTCTTCCCCACCGACATTGACACACGCTGTATCATGCGTTCCTCGCTGCTGCGAGTTCCTTAGATTTCTTTTCAATACTTTAGTCTTTTCTTTGCTTTTCTTGGTGATCTCCATTTTCGGTGTCATCCTGCCACTTCTAGTTCCTCGTTTTCACCACTCCCCGATTAGTGACAGTACTTAGAAGCCAACCGGCTGGTCAAGATGCGCGTGACCAGTGTACCGCTCGGGCTCCCGACTACGGCGAAACCCCTCTTTCGGTCGTCGACTGCCCGTTCTGCGAGAATCATCACAAACACCAGCACACCCCGGCGCACACAATGTACATCGGCTTGCGGACATAGGAACGTCAACCAGTCGCGCGCTTTGGCACATGCTGCTCGGCCTGCTGCCCGCATCATCCTCCCTGCGACATTTACCGCTGGCCAAAGGAGGAGAGCAACAACTGCTACCGCCGCAACCGCTGTTCACAATGGTTAGCCAAACCCCGACCTCTTACTGGCGCCATCACTCCCGTAATGAGAGATCTTGATTTGACTCTTTCCTACCCACAGCAAACCCAGAAAACCTTGGCCCCATCCAAGAATACGACCGCCGAGTCGCCAATGGGGAGCTACGAAATGACGACCATCAAAGAGGTGAGTGAGCATGCAACACTTGGGAGCTCAACCTATAGACGGAACAAGAGCAGCCGCTAACTAACGCGCCTCATATTTGCACAAACAGGAATTATCCAGAATCTCCAGCATCTCCACGAAGAACTCCGGAATTACGCGGCACCTCCCGTCGTCCGCCCGACCCTCGAATCTCTAAAACCGCAAAAGTCTCTTTTCTCCTTCTTCGGCGGCAAGTCCAAGAGTGCCATTGCCGAAATCCCTGCCAACCTTCCCCGGGGGCTCTACCTCTATGGCGATGTTGGCTGCGGCAAGACCATGCTCATGGATCTCTTTTACGACACATTACCCCATAACATCAAGTCGAAGACGAGGATACACTTCCACAACTTTATGCAGGATGTCCACAAGCGCCTCCACAAGATCAAGATGCAATACGGCAACGATGTCGACGCCGTTCCCTTTGTTGCAGCCGACATTGCCCAACAGGGAAGCGTTCTCTGTTTCGACGAGTTTCAATGTACCGACGTCGCCGACGCCATGATCCTTCGCCGCCTCCTCGAGGCTCTCATGTCCCACGGCGTTGTGCTTGTCACGACCTCCAACCGACACCCCGACGAGCTGTACATAAACGGTGTCCAGCGCGAGTCCTTCATCCCCGCTATTGAACTGCTCAAGAACCGGCTGCACGTCATCAACCTGAACTCCAACACCGATTACCGCAAGATCCCCCGTCCTCCTTCCGGTGTCTACCACACTGCGCTCGACGCCCACGCAGCCTCCCACGCCGAGAAGTGGTTCCGCTTTTTGGGCGATCCCGAAAATCCCGAGCCGCACCCCGAGGTGCAAACTGTCTGGGGCCGCGAGATCCACGTCCCTCGTGTCAGCGGCCGTTGCGCCTGGTTCACCTTTGACGAGCTGATCGGCCAACCGACAGGTGCTGCCGACTACATTGAGCTGATGCGCTCGTACGACGCCTTCATTGTCACCGACATCCCTGGTATGACCTACCGTCAGCGCGACCTGGCCCGCCGCTTCATCACCTTCATCGACGCCGTATACGAGTCGCACGCCAAACTTGTCTTGACGGCAGCCGTGCCCTTGACAGAATTGTTCGTTTCCCGACAGGAGATTGAGGAGTCACTCAAGAAGCAGGGCAAGGCTTTGGACCAGACGCATTCTGTTGCGGATGTGATGAGTCACATGATGGATGATCTCGACCAGAATGCCGACAAGCTCTCCAAGTCTAACCTGTTCAGCGGCGACGAGGAAGCCTTTGCGTTCGCGCGTGCGCTGTCGCGCTTAACTGAAATGGGCAGCAAGATGTGGGTTGAGCGTGGTATGGGTCTGGAGGACAAGGGTGGTAAATCTGAGCATGATAGCTGGACGAAGACGAGGAGTAGGCAGATGGAAGACAGCATGTGAGATAACAAGGAAAAGGAAGTGATGCGGTTGCTTGGTTAACAGAATCGATACCCCGAAAGACAGAGCGAACGTCGCTCCACTTACATTACCCACGCGGCTCGTCTGCAAAAGACGTGAGCCTGGAAAAAGCATGCATTGGTGGTTTCGTCCTTTTTTCAGTTCTTTTTAGGATCCTTTTTGGCGCTAATGCTAATGGCAGCGGACCTTGGTGCCGTTTCTCTGGCCGGTTTTGAATACTTTGCTTTGTGATGTCTTAATAGCATGCTGTCCGCTCAGACGTGAAGCTGTGCTACGGCAGAATGAAGTTTGACTTGGACACTTCTTACAATCTTTCCAATAACACAGCATTATTACAGAGACAGTATTAGAAACCCTCAGTATTGAACCGCCACTCAGCCCTGAGAGCTAACTTACTTACCTCACACTATCATCACCATGCATCATCACAGACGCCCAAGTCTACATAACCGATCACACAGATAAACCCAAAGTGGTTGACTTCCCTCCTCTTCCCCTTCAGCGAGACCACGAAAATACCGTTCAGTAAAGACCAGGAAACAAAGAATACGGAACCTCCTTCTTGTATCGTTCCCACTGCTCCCCATACCTGCTCTGCATGTACTCGCTCATGTACACCGTGCTCCTGCTAACAAAGTGCCAGATATGGAACGCCGCCACGCCCAGGGCCGGGATCCAGCCGCCCGCCGCCATCGCGTACCCGGCCCTCCACAGCGTATACCCGCCATAGTTGATGTGACGCGCCTTATTCCAGAGCCCTTCGCGGCAGATCTTGCCCTCATTGGCCTCGTCATCCTTGAACTTCTTGCGCGTGCGCTCCGTGAGGGTCTCGATCGCCATGCCCGTCACGTACATGACCGTGCCGAGGGCGATGGGCAGCGGCAGGGACATGTACGTGCCCGTGGCTGAGTCGAAAGTGAAGGGGATGGTGATGCGCGGGGTTGAGAGGGCGGCCGAAGTCGAGGTGCTCAACAACAGCAAGGAACCCATGGTGTTGACGACCGTGTTGAACAGCGACACCTCCACCGCCGCAGCAGGGGTAAGTTCCTCGCGCGATAGACTCAAAAGCCAGTAGATCTGCTTGAGACTGGATCCCGCAGACATGAGCAACAGCAAAAGGCGCGGTAGGGGGAGGTGCCGGATGATGGACGCCTTGGTTCCCTCCGCAGTAGTCGTCTCCAACACGTAGTCGTACAGCGGGATCGACGAGATGTTCAGCTTGGACAGCAGGCGCGTGCCCCAGTCGCCCGCGAGTAACTTGTACTGTAGCAGCGGGTCGAGCGCGCGAAGGCCGATGAAGGTGGCGGTGCCCAGCAGGTTGGACTTGTACACACCCCGCTGGATCAGGTCTTGAGGGTTCCGAGAGCCCAAGGAGGAGGAGGAGGAGGACGGCGCGGTCTTGCTGCCACTGGTGCTGCTCTTGCTGCTGCTGTTGGGCTCGCTGGTGTGAGACTTGCCGTGAGACTCCGAGGCGGCATGTTTACTGTTAGGTTCGGCGTGGTGTTTGTCATTCGGCTTGCTGTCGATCTTGCCGTTGGCGGTCTTGTTGGTATCGTTGGCGTGTTCCGATCCCCTTCCCATGGAGGGAGGGAAAGCCTCAGCTGAGGACATGGTGGTGGCTTGGCTATAGATGAGTGTCTGCTTTACGTTGGTGTTGTGGAACGGTGGGGTGTAGGCTGTTTGGTTTGGTCTTGGGTCGAGGTTGACTTCGATCAAGAGACGGGAGAAGGACTGGGACGAGCCGAGTTAGAGGTAAAAGAGGGGTTAACTGTTCTCAGATAGTATATTAGTTTGTGTGCCCCTAACAATCATGCAAGGTGCTACATTTTATTCAGTTCACGTCAAAGTTGCTGTTTCCCAAACGCAGTAATAAGTTGTGTAAGACCTACCTCTAGCTCCACTTGCCTTTATAGGTCTCCACATACTTTGTACCTACCTATCTTGATGATAGAAAGACCAGCTCGGTTGCCAGATAGAACGAGATACCTCTAGACTGAAGAGGATGCAATCATTTTGTCATCCGTACCCTCCTCTTCTTCGCTTCAGGTCCGTCCGAGGAGCTTCTCAGGAGCTTCCTGGGTACTCAAAAGCATCTCGAAGCTCGGACGCCATGGCGCTTCTCCGCTTCACCCCACTCTATAACGAGGAGTTAGCGTCGGATGGTGCTCAATTGTAGCGAGGAATGAAGTCATTGCTAGTGTCATCCCGCCATTAATTGTTAGTGTGCAGGGCCTCAGCGGACAAGCGGAGACCAGAAACCTTATCTTGACGGCTCGGTCCTGGCTTCCTCCGGTTCGTACAGTCGGGGGTTAGGTGCCCTGGTCTCCGCCGAAGTGGAAGTAATCGAACCCTCTGCCACCTTGATCCTGAACATATCGTCCTTTCCACTTGTTCATCTATTGTAAGACAGCATAGTGCTGACGAGTCATGAAGCCCGAGTCACCCCTATCCAAAGTAAACATACTAATAAAGTTAGATAACGAGAGTGGAGATCAAAGTGCTCGGCCCGTGAAAAAGAAGGGATGCTCGCCATGTTCTTGAATACAATTCCGTCCGCCTATGAGGAATGCCGTGGTCAGATTTCAGCGGTGATATAGCCGTGATTCATTTGCGAAAAGCAGAGTCGAAAGATGCACAGTCTTATACATACAATGAAACCAGAATTGAATGAGACAGCAACATATGACCACCTCAACCCTCTAAAGCCCGCGAGTGAAGTTCGAGGTCTCGTCAACTGCTCTTCAGTCTTGTTGCTTTCACTTGCTAGTTGATGCAAGGCCTGTGGAGAGCCACGCGTGCAGTGACCAGTGCAACCACGGGTTCGTCACTAGCGCCTTGGCAGGGGCAGATCCGCCCTGACCGCCCCAGGCAGCAGGGGCATCAGTGGAGCCTCCCCGCGCGGAGTGCTTATCGGGGCCTTATCAGATAGCCAAAGCAGCTTCCGAAACGGGCCAACGGCACGCACGGGGATGCATGACACATCAGTCAGTCTCCAGGCCGGCCTTGGAACAGGCACCTTGTTGGTCCCCAGGTCCCATCGCGCGGTGAGGCCCGGTCCCGTCTCTTTCCCATTCCGTCGCAGCGCATTCTCTTCATGCCATTTCCTCCCTCTTTCATCCATCAACCAAGTCAACAACACCCACTCCAAACACTATCGTAACATTCACCAACAGCCACAATGAAGATCTCAAACGCATCGCTTCTTGCGCTGCTGCTCCCCGCGGCAAGCGCCCGCTTCGTTGAGCAGGCCGAGCAGAACCGCGTCATGCTCTTCCCTGATGGCATTCCCGAGGAGCCCAAGTCGACGACGAAGTATCACATTGAGCTTTCGCCCGGAAACACAAGATGGGTTACAGAGGATGAGAAGTGGGAACTTCGACGTGTATGTAAACCTTATCGGGGACCGGGGATTATCGAGCGAGGTACTAACAGCTGTTTTGCCCATAGAATGGTCAGCGCTTCTTCGACATCACCGACCATGCCGAGCTCGGTACTTTCAACAAGCGCCCCTCCAAGCAGAGTGTCTTCCCTAAGAAGCCGACGCAGAAGAAGGACCTCGAGCCATTGCTCAAGAACCTGTCCAAGACTGAGATGGAAGACCATCTCACCACTTTCACCTCTTTCCACACGCGGTATTACAAGGTATGTGCGCGCAGCATGGCTTATCAAGGCATGCCATTGCTCGCGACATGATAAGCTAACCTCGGCATGTCAATAGTCCGAGAGCGGACGTCAATCGAGCGAATGGCTTCTTAAGCAAGTGCGTGACACCATCAAGGCCGCTGGCGCCGACGACACCGTTACTGCTCGCCACTTCGAGCATTCTTGGGGTCAGAACAGTATCATTGCCACCATTCCCGGCAAGACCAATGCCACCGTAGTCATCGGCGCGCACCAGGACTCGATCAACCTTTGGCTTCCTTCCGTTCTCGCTGCCCCTGGCGCCGACGACGATGGCAGCGGTACCGTCACTATCCTGGAGGCTTTCCGTGTGCTGCTGCAGTCTGAGGACATTATCAAGGGCAACCACGAAAACACCATCGAGTTTCACTGGTACAGTGCTGAGGAGGGTGGTCTCCTTGGCAGCCAGGCCATCTTCACCACATATGAGAAGGCTCGCAGGGGCGTCAAGGCAATGCTCCAGCAGGACATGACCGGCTTCGTATCCCGCACCCTCCAGGCCGGTGAGGTGGAAAGTGTCGGTGTTATTGTCGACTATGTCGACCCAAACCTGACTGATTTCATCAAGAAGATCATTGTCGAATACTGCGATATCCCCTACGTCGAGACCAAGTGCGGCTATGCCTGCTCTGATCACGCTTCTGCTTCCAAGGCTGGGTATCCCTCGGCCTTTGTCATCGAGTCTGCTTTCGAGTATTCGGACAACCACATTCATACTACCGACGATCTCATCAAGTATCTCTCATTCGACCATATGCTCCAGCACGCGCGCATGACTCTTGCTTTTGCCTACGAGCTGGCCTTTGCCGACTTTGCCAAGTTGGAGAAGGGACACGGTGATCTTTAGTGAGGTATCCAAGTTGGCATAGGGTCAATATAGTAAAGCGCAGCTCCATTTGGGATAAGAGCGGGTTTTGGTTGGGAATACCCATGTTTTGTTTGGGTTTATGGATGGTTATGAATAATAGCAAATAGGATGAACATGATTATTAACTTGGTCCGGGGGTTGAGCTATTGCTCAGTGTCTCGCAGTTTGCTCCCAACGCCTGGTTTTCCGCACAGACTTTTCGAATACTACCTACCATGATAAGGGATCCTGCGCTCGTCTTCAACAAACTGCATCACTTGAACGCAGAAGATCGGTCGTCCCGAGTTGGATCATTCCGAGTCCACATACATTCTATCCTCACTCCCCGCACGCACCCGTGCCGACTCGGGACCGACACCATCCACCCAACCACTGACGTCATCAACAAATGTTGGTGGTGACTTTTCACCTTTCAGGCGAATGGTCGTCCATGACAACGCAAGCTTGTTAACATTGAAAGGTCTTGGGGAGATGAGTGCCCCGACCCAATATCGGTCCTTTCATTATCTCCTTTGCTTTATGTGTTCTGGACGAATTATGAAAAGTCATTTCGAAGGACGCACTTAACCAAGATTCTTGGCGCTCGAGCCAACAAGGTTCTCAGCATCTTCCGGGCAGGTACTGACGGGTATTAAAACAGTTGGGAAGGCACATTTTGCAGGGTCCATGTCCTGTCAGGAGCAAATGCTCCGAGCAATCTGAAAGTGCACTGATCTCGTTCATCATGACACCTGCCCATAGCCCCAAGTGACACGCTTTTCTTTGGACTTGTTCCCTTGCTACTCCCGGAGACTAAGCTAGAACTTCCAGTGGAGGACTCATTGTCCCAACATTCCATCTCTCATCTTGATCATCATTGCACACCTACTAGACTATTCTACTATATAACAATCATCATCAACATCCGTTTCTGTATCTCTGACCCACATATACATTGCTTCCATAAACACTCCACGAACATCTCCCGTCATGACCAAATCCAAGTTTCCAGATCACATCTCGGATCGTATCCTCGACCTCTGCGCATCCTCTGAAACCGTCTCTTCACTCCTCGCAAAAGAACCCAGTCTTTCCCCCAGTGCTGCCTGGAACCAGCTTTACGGCCGGCATGCTCTAAAGAAGAGGTCTCTAGGCGTCGACGAGGAGGACAAAGAGGAAGAGGGGAGTTCCAGCGGCAGTGAAGAGGAGGAAAGTAATGGCCAGGGTTCAACAACTTACTACAAGTCACCACCCACGCCCCCTCATTCGCCTCGTTTAGCCCAGGAACACCTTGATCGGGCTGCGAAGTGTGGGAAGTGGGGAGGGAAGAAACCGAGTGAACTATTTTTGCAGGTACTTAATTACTTCCAGAGGCATGTTATGTGGTTGATGGGATTGATGGGAGACCGCTGACAACTTCTGTGGCAAGATATATCACGATGCACTTTGCACACTTGACGATGATCCCCTCAGGGGTATGGTCAGCCCGCCGCTTTTGGGGACCTGCGGTACTGTTCCGTTGACGATAATCTCCGTGTACGTAAAGCTATTCATCCCATTTTATCCTGTTGATGGAGCACCTTTTAGCACGTCCTTAAAGCTGTTGATATTAACTTACCATCAACCTGAAAGCATCCCCGACATAGCCCGCCACATGGCCAATCTGATCTGCCGGGCAAAACACGAAATCTTTTTAGCAACAAACTACTGGCAATCGAGCGTTGCCTCAACCTACCTAACAAACGCTATAAGGGACCTCAACCGACGTCTTGCCTCCGAAGCCCACTTATCCTCTGGGGTAGAGTCCCAGCCACAAAAGAATAAGATAGTTCTTAAAATCCTCTACGATCGCGGAACCCCCAAACAACTTCTCTCGCCCCACCAGATCGTTTCTCCAGATACCTACACCGACGCCTCCACCGTCGGTCTTCCCCATCCAGACGAGATCTCGTTTATCGACATGCAAGTGATGAACTATCACACGCCCATCATGGGCACGTTTCACGCCAAGTACATGGTGGTGGACAGGCGCGTGGCAGTGTTGCAGAGCAATAACATCCAGGACAACGACAACCTGGAGATGGCGACGCACTTGAAGGGTCCAGTGGTGGATTCACTTTGGGATATGGCGATGATTAGTTGGTATAAGCACTTGGAGCCTGGGATGCCGTGTGTTAATTCGCCGGCTAGTGAGGCGTGGGGAAGGGAGAAGGAAGTGGAAGAGACGGGAGTGGGCCAGATTGAGAGGAAAGTGGAAGTTAAGAGGCTTGCTGTGACCGAGGAGCCACCCACCACTGGGATGACTACTCAACCGACTGTCACTCCCAAGGTTCCCCGACACACAACCGAAGAGCCTCACTATGACACTTCGATAGCAGCCGAAGTCGCCCGTGTTCAAACCTCCTTGGCATCTAAACGCGATCCAGGCAGAAGAGTCATCGAAACACACCTGCAAGCTGTCACTCGTCTCCTCAACCACACTCGCAACCCCAACTTCACGGCCGACCCGCTTGCCCCGGACCCGGTCACTGACCCAAACAATAAAATGACCCCTTACCTGTTCCTTCCTCATCACCAAGCCTCCATTCAAGGACAATACCAACAACCCGAGGCAGTACCAATGGCCCTAGTCAACCGCGCCCCTTACGGATTGCCGAACCACTCCTCCGTCTCCAATCCGCAAAATGCCGCCTGGCTTTCTGCCCTCCGCAATGCCACTCACTCCGTCTTCATCCAGACCCCAACTCTGAACGCCGCTCCTTTGCTCCCCGCCATTCTTGATGCCTGCAACCGCGGCGTCCAAGTCACTTGCTATGTATGTCTGGGATACAACGACGCAGGCGAACTGCTTCCTCACCAGAACGGTCACAACGAAATGATTGCACATCAGCTATACTCATCGCTCTCGCCTGGGACGAGGCAGAATCTGCATTACTACTGGTACGTGGCCAAAGACCAGACGAAACCGCTGGTGCAGTCCAAGGGGTTGAGGAGCTGTCATATCAAGTTGATGGTTGTGGATGGGCACGTGGGCATCATGGGGAATGGGAACCAGGATACGCAGAGCTGGTTTCATAGCCAGGAGATTAATGTGATGATTGATAGTGAAGAGGTTTGTGGGACGTGGATGAAGGGGATTATGAGGAATCAGAACACGGCAATATACGGGGCGTTGGATAAGGAGAAAGGGATGTGGGTTGATGCGGAGGGGAAAGAGGCGGATGGGGTTATTGGTGTTGATCCGGGTGGGAGAGTAAAGAGGTGGGCTAAAGGGGCGGTGGGTGCGGTGAAGAGGGTTCAGGGGATTGGAGGGTTTTAGAGTTGTGGTTAGGAAGTATGGGGTGTGTTTCGGGTGACGAGTAGACCGTTTTGCGGACGGTCGCGGATGGATGGCCCAAAATTGGGTATTGGATTCAGCAAAGTCTGTAACGTTGATAAATCGAGGGACTGTGTACTAAACTGGAAAATAAGACAGATATCTGCTTGGATACCTGCCCTATCCAATAGAGGAGTCTTTGACTTCAAAGACCTGATGAGACCACACCAAAGGAAAAGCACACCCTGATGAGAAGATTGTGGGAGAAAACCACAAAGGAGAAGAATCAAAACCCGAAGAGAAAGAGTACAAGACACTGACAGAGGAAAACCAAGAAGATTCAGTAGAATCACCCTCCTTTCTGAAGCTTTCTCAAACAGACAGGATAACACCGTATCCGTCAATCCAAAATTTCGCTCTTGATGACCAGCTTGCCCTTGGCAACCGCTTCGGTCTTCACTTCGGCTTTCTTGCTTGAAGTCGTTTCACTTGAAACAGCCTCTTCTTTGAACACAGTAGCCTCAAGGGTGAGACTAGCAATACCCTCAATCACGTCACCAACAGCGTCATATTCCGAAGTACCGGAATTACCAAGGCGAATACCAGCAATACCCCTCGCAATGAGATCCTCGCCAGTCAGATAGCCACTTACTTCGCTCTTCGATTTCTTCGAATGGTCACCTCCAACCGTGTTAGACTCCGGCGCCCCCATAACTCGGTCCATGGCAGTCTTCGGTACCTGCGCATAATAGACTACCAGCTTTGCTTCCTCTAGTTCGCTGCACCTCTTGATGATACTGCGAAACGTGGCGTACCAATACATCCATCGATCCATGTGCATCCCCGACTCCCCTCCGTACATGACACCGGTTGGCGAGCCCCAGTCCCAGATGTAGGACGAGTTCTTCCCGGACTTGTCACTTGCGTGGTTGTCCCAGTCGAGCGCCTGCTGCCACAAGAGATGCGCGGCAAATTTCATCCACTCCGTGGCCGACGCCATGAAGCACTCCTACTGTTCGATGGTGACCGGGTGAAAATCTTCGAGAGCAGCGCGCAACACCCAAGTAGCGCAGGGGATGATTCTGTGGAGGCCTGTGGCTGCGGTTCGAGCTTGGAACGAAGAGAAGTTAATCCAGTGCCACATGACTTCTTGATCTCTTTCGTCGCGTGGGTAGGCTGTTGACGGGTCAGATGTCAGTCGAGTTACAATCTCGGAGAAAGGATTGGCGAAGAGTTGAAGTAAGGGGGAACACACGTAGAACAAACTTGTAGAGAGAGTCCGAGAAGTACGGCAAGGGCTCCCACCATGTGGGATGGCAAAAGGGCTGTAAATATGGCAAGAGATGTAAGCAATCAATGAGACGTATGTGAAGAAAAGAACGAAAGGGGAGAAAGACACATAGAGAGAGGCGCAAAACTGAACAAACATGCCAGTGTTTCAGGACCATCGCGTTCGCGGGTCATCCACTCCTTCTTCTCCACCTTCACATCTGCTTCGCAGAGGTCTGCCAGCTTCTTGATGAGGTTCTGGAGTCTCTTTTGGGCAGGATGCCAGTAGGGTATATTCTTCGCGACGTCGAAGAATATGTACCAGAACTCTCGCATCACTCTTGCGGCTGGGTGCTTCAGCTGCATACTACTGATGGAGGACAGGGAATGAGTCGTCGTGTCGGACGACATATAGTTTTCCGGCACGGCCTTCCATGGCATCAGCTCGTTAAGAGCGTTAGCAGTGGCTTGAAGTGACACCACGCGAGGGTGATTCAGGTGTGCGATTAGATGCTCCATGGCGAGCTCCTGATCGTCTGTGAGATTCACATCACAAATCCAGAGATTTGGGAGGTAGGGATCCTCTTCTTCCAGGGAAGCAAAACTCATGCGATCTGAATTTATGGCCGAATCGTTCGAGATAACAGTCGCGTCGCTTGATGACTGCCTAGTTCCGCGTTCCAACATGCCGAGATGAAATAACAAGTAGGTAGGAAATAAAATCAACCATAGATGAGACGGGATATTAAGACAAGTTAGAAGTAGGAGCGTGGTGAACGAGCGATAGTTCTTGGCTGCCTGCGAAGATATATTACGTTGACGACGAGAAGAAGGGAAAGACTTGGAGGCCCAGACGGATGAAAAGTGAGAGGAAGGTGAAGGAACAGATCAACCTTGGATTTTTTTGCTGCAGCAATTTGGAAGGTGCAATGGTGTCTAAAGTACCTATTGGCGGGGTATTTAACTGTCTTCTAGGCTTCTGTTGTCTTAGTCTTCTTTTCTTCCTAATCAACCACCCTCTTCACTCTACCGAACCCTGGCATTAGCACCACAAGTGGCTGCAAATTCCTCGTGGGCAAGCGGCTAACGTACCGCTCGAGGATTGGACCCTAGAGCTGCCTACCTATCTATCAAGGTACCCAATATGTAGCACATAAATACTCCTTCCCTATCCACCTTTTCCCAGGTTGCCAGGACCGACCAACCATTTACAGCATTTCAGACACCTGTGGAGGCACACGTTCGGGTACTTACCCTACTTAGGATGAAAGGAACCTCAAGCTCTGCATAATCTGGGAAGGCGCAAGCAATCGGAACCGGACAGTCATCCATTCCTGTTGCTTTGTTCTTTCACCTTCTTGTCGTAACCAGAATATTTCCCGCTCAATCCCTCCTCCTTTGAGTCTTAGACAAACCACCTGACATTAGTCCAATTACCCATCCCACTTACGATGTATTCAGTTGTTTCTTCGAGGCAAAGGCTTGCTAAAGACGATAATCCAGACATTTCAATATCTGTCTAAGGTATCCTCTTTTCTCACACGGCATCCTTTGGAGTATCGGGTGTCTCCCAGGCATGCTATCCACATCGTCACCCCAAACTACTCCCGCGGAGAGCCCAAAGAGCGATAACAAACGAAAACGCAGACCCCTGACATCATCGCCATCGCTTAGTGAGGCCATTGATCCGGATACCCCCAGCAGCGCTTCAAGTGTACGTGCCGTCAGAAAGCGTGTCAAGGTATCTAGTGAATCTCCCAGCTCTGGAGAGTCGAAAATGGAAGACGAATCCGCACGGGTTTCTGACGACTACGTCTCGGACACCTCCGTGTCGAAGATCAGCAGCCCTAGCTACGCTACAGTCACGACCGAGATCCACACTGAGTCGGAGTTTGTCATTGAGATCAAGCACGAGACAATACCCGAGGATCCGTTACTCCCTAAAGCCATGAATGTGTGCGTCATGTGCGACAGGCCAGCAACTGTGCCGTGTATGTGGTGCGGCCACGAGTCAGAGATTGGCTGGTGTTCAAGCTCCCATGTTGTGGAATTCGAAGATATACACTCACCCCGGTCACCTCTTTGCCTTGAATTCGCACACGAGTTCAACGACAGCCAACGCCCGGGTCCTGATTATCGTCGCCTTGTTTACTTTCCAGTCAGAAACCATACCAATCCAGTCTGCTGTTAGGGTCGGCTCGAAGAAAATGGTGCGTTTTCATCATCGCTTTTTGTTCACGATCCGGAAATTATCCAATATTGGAATATGTGTGGAGGTCTGGAAGCGTTTGACACCGACTACCAAGTTATCACCCCGAGAGATGTCCCCGTGACCACGATGAGTAACTTCGTGTATGTGGCATCCTATAGCCTGAAGGGTATGTTCAGTGCAGAGGAGGTCAATCAATCCCTGGCTGTCCTAACGAAAGGACTTATCCCCTTCATTCCTGGGACGGCGATTATTGCGGCACTGTCATGGTCTCCTGAAAGAACATCGCCCCTCAATCTCGAGGATGTCACCGGCCGTGACATTGTATTTGCACTAGACAAATTGAGGTTGGAGAATGTTGGGGTGTACAACCCTGACCCACGTCGCAATAACCTACCTTCGGTGCCTGGTATCAAAATCACCGACTTTAACAACCCATTCTTCGCGTGTGCATTTGGGGCTGATCATAGAATTGAGAGCTTGCAACCGGTTCAGGTCTTGGAAAGAGAAATGCGCTATAAAGGGCATGAGAAGATGTTTGGCTGCACCATTCCCTTTCTCCTCGGTTTGCCTTGGATTACGCGTGCCGATAATGACCCTCGATGGGAGATAGAAAGGAGGAAAATCGAAAAGCCAATCAATCTCCGCTACCTGAATTTTCAATTCGATGCGGGAGATGAGCGGCGGATCTTGGAAAATATTCGGTTGTCTAACGACGAAGATTGGCAGGCAGCACCGTGTCACTACGGAACCTTCGTTCTCGTACATTTGCTGGGAGTCAAGATCTACCCTTACCACATCTCGGCTTTATGCGACTATCTTGATTACTGTTCCGAATTCACCACCACTCCGAGCAAGGAAGGGTTTCTTGACTCTTGGCAACAGTGGTGTCAGGCGCATGACGGGGATCGGGACGAGTTTATCTCACCTTACGATACTGGCGATCTTGAGGAAGCTGATCGTCCCGACGATGGCGCCAAATCACCAGCCAGGAATTTGTAGGGCGAATTTGGTGAATGCCTGATCAGAGATATCGAGGATTGTTCTGCCGTCATATTTGAAGATCTTTGGCCGGTTATCTTTGGAAATGCATTGGCCCTTGATGATTTGACTTGTGGGTCTACTCCAAGCGACGGCGGCGGCGCTTCGTCGATGGAACCCCTTGGAGATCTATCATTGCGCGTCAAGCCATCGACCTCTGCTGGTTTGGACGGCAAACCTATCGAGCCATCCATTGAGGACGAGTCGTTGCGCGCCGAATCCCGATCACCACCTGTTTCAAGACGGTCGACTCTCAGTCCGAGCCAACTCTCTGATTCCCCCTTATTGTCGTGATAGAGTGATGTTATGGGTAATATTCCTCGGCGTTTTGGTTGGTCTGAGCTGGGTATGAAACAGTTTGTGGGATCCGCGCTCTTCGAATAGGATAGCATGCTGTCGAAACATTCTTGTGGTTCAGTTCAGCATGCAATACATTATTATGATGGAGAGTACGAGGTACGGATGCACTCAGGATGTTCAATGAATTATGTAAGGGCGGAAAGAAGAGCTTTCTGTCCCTCAGTGCACACACAGTCTACCGCCGTGCTAGCTGTGGAAAGTATTGAATAACGAGAATCTTAGATATCTTTCTGAAGACGAGATCGCCATGGATTTTCCTGAACTTGAAAACATTCAAAGTTTCCATATATGTTCTGTTCGTGGCCGAAGTGGTCGGAAACATATGCTTGGATGCGTGATATGAGCGTATTAATGTGTAATGTACGGACCGTAACGTGTTCGATTGATTCTTATTCTTACACTCATTTGGCAGCCGAGATTTGGACGCACCGTGATACAGCCGGGCCGGGCCGGGCCGTGGTGGGGCCGCGCAATGACGTGAAAAATGGAGCATGCAAGCCGAAATATCGTAGAGATCCCGAACGGGCCAGGCATGTACATGAAGGACCTAGTAGCCGATAACAGATAAAGTATAGATGGCTAGTTTCGCAGGATCAGCTATATAGGAGTTGTCATTCTCTCTGGGCATCATCTTGACTTGAAAGCGGTGGGACGGTTGAAAACTACTATCTTGGTTGTTTTGCCCCCTTTCTTTACAAGGTCAGCATAGGGAGGCCACACTGCACTAGGGTGAGCACAGAATATAGCTTTATGCTTTGGATAAGTTGTCAACAATTCCAAGGGCTATTGGTCTAGGGGTATGATTTTCGCTTCGCATTGTGCAATGCGCCTTGTGAAAGGTCACCGGTTCAAATCCGGTATAGTCCATTGTTCTTGCTCCTCCTTGCTTTTTTTTTACCATTTGCGAATATTTCCTTTTGCAATCATAACCCACACCTCTTTTTTGTATGTGAAGATGTGACAGACAGAGGATGATGGGTGTCGGCAATGCTAGGGTTGTATACTGACGGGGAAATGCATGTTACGGCGGGGTATTTATGAACACTGGTGTCAGTCCTAAAATTGTTTCCAAATCATTCAATTCTTCCACGGATACTACGCTACTCATCGCATCCGGGATTCTCCCGCAGTTCTAGCTACATATATCGTTTGACTCAAGTTGCGTAGTCTCTCAAGGCCGGCTCTCTCAACAATTTGGTAGGGAAAGCAACCAATCTGGCGCCCGCAGTGGTAAGGAGTCCCTCCGTCTTTGCTCTGTCCGTGAGCTGCAACCCTGGCGCGACCACATTCGAACAGGTCCTGAACATCTGCGACCTAATTCTGCTTAGGCTCGCGGGCCCTCCATTCTTCAGCGCGTCGAGCGTCATTGCCGCAACGAGCGGGTGCGCCATCAAGGTCGAGTGGCCATATTGCCCACCGCCAGCCGATAGTCCGCAGACCGTTTGCACCTCGACGTTCGTCACGCCCTTATTACGCGCGTCTCCCATCCTCGCCGACGCCGTCAAGCCAGCTTGCGGCTGGACAACCTCGTCAGTGAGACGCGACCAGAACGAGGTGGTGGGCACATGCGCGTCCCCGCCGCCCGCCGCCCTGAGGGTGTTGATCAAGTTCGAGCTGTACAACTGCTGGAGCACCGACGGCGGGCAGGGCGCTCCCGCCTTGGCAACTTTCCCGAAGTTGCCCGCGCACAGCCCATATGCCAACATGGTCCCGTGAAAATCCGGGCTGACGGAGATCAGCTGGCGCACCTTTGGGGCGGTGCTCGGCCAGTAGGTCAACACCCACTGCGTGGCCAGATTACCCTGGGACCAGCCGATCACGTTCAAGTCACGGTCGTCACCGATGAGCGCCTTGACGTAGCTGATGGCGTAGGCGATGTACTCGGCGTTCGACTGTACGTCGTCCAGCATGGCGTTAGGCACGTTGACCCAGACGGCGTCGGCGGCGCCGGCATTGGTGATGACTTTGAGCAGGTTGTCGGCGAAGGATTCGTGGCCGTAGGCTCCGGTACCGGGAACGAAGAGGACTACTTGGCGGTTGGTGGACGCGTTGAAGCCTGATGGCAGGAAGATGGCGGCGCGGAGGGTCGCCTCGGGGATGGTGAAGGCGGGATCTGCATCTGAGGACCGAGGGTAGCCAACCCCTGGGATGTCTGGGTTCCGGTTGTTGAAGCTGTCGCGAGGGTCGGTAGGAGAGACTACGGGTGACTGGCGAACGACCTTGTCCCAGACAACGCCGGCGTCGTGTAACTCGTCCCTGTGAGAGAGCTTTCCGATAGCCCGGACACTTTCGTGGTGCACCGGCTCGGATGCTGTGGGGAGGCCCAAAGCGAGTTGAGCGAACAAGGTGACGGTGCTGAGGAGCACCGCAGCACTGGAGGTAAGGATCATATTTTATAAGCTCGTCGACCCTGGGGGTCTCGTAAGCTGCGAATTGAGAATGACTTATCGAGCTTAGGTCTGGCGACTGGACTGAGGAGAGCACCAGATTATATATCAGTAACCCCCAAGTCCCCATGCCCTTGAATAGTGGCCGTATCCCGGGCTAGCTTGCGAGCTGTAAATCTAAACTGGCGATGACATCGATCCCTCCTCCTTTTCCTTTCTTCTGTCGATGGGGAATTATACATTACAGCCGCGGTCTAGCACTTGGCACTCTCCGCATGGAGAGGGGTGAGGTACACAATCGGTGAGGATTCCCGCAACAATGACCTCATGCCTGTGAATCCCTTCTGTCAGGTGTCCCCCCATTCTCGAAACCATTCACACCGGAACCTGACATCCCCTTGGGGTTCCGGAGTATCTAGGCTGGTGCTCTTCCCACACCGTCCGGCAAGTTGCGAAATTAAAGTGACGCTAATCGTGATCTAAAAAGTCTGGGGAAGGTAGCAGTCGCAAGCCATGCCCACTTGAAGAATAAGTGATCATCCCTCGTCCCCACCTGCCTCGTGGATGAAGAAATCCAGAACCGAAGATCCCCAAAGTGCACGGTCAGCCAAGATCGCAACACGAGCTGAAACCAAGCCTGCCGAGGTCTGCAGAAACTGGAGAGAGAATGCATGAAGCTTTTATGAGAGCCAAAACAACTTCTCATTCTCATGTTTTTCTAGCATATTCTGCTTCAATAGTCACACAATAGTCACACACACATTCGACGTCCTAAGGAACGGGATTCGAGTCTCCGGAAGATGAAACGGCATATAATCTTTCCCCACCTTGCCCCCGAACGGCAGCACCACATTGGTCAAGTCCCCCTACATCTTAGCGCGGAATGCGTTCCGCTGAACAATAACCGAGAAGAGAGAAGAACCACATGAAACTATCATGAATCTTTTCGCAAGCTCTTCCAAGCTTAGGTCAAATTCTCTATAGAAGTAGGCATAAAAAGCAAACAAGTTTATCCAGCTAGCAAGCCAGGCAGCATATGTAAAGGAAAAAAAGACACACACAATACAGCGAAGCAGAAATTTGCAAAAAGAGATG